CAAGTAATCAGGGATAGCAAATAATAAGAATAAGACAGCAGGATATAAAAGAAAGAAATGGAGAAAAATCACAACTACAAAGATCTGCAAATAGAAGTAGAACTGGGGGGGGGGGGGAGTAAAGATTTCCAAATAGTATCAATAGTAATAGGTGCTTGAATGCAATGCCATAACATTGGAGCACCACTATTGATAAACGTCATCCTTGTTACTTAGCAGCAAAAATTCTTCTCAAAAAAACTGAAGATGCATTCTATAATAAATAGAAGGCATCTTTAAATTGGCTGTTTTCCTGACCTACCAGGGTTATTATGTTTACCCAGTTAAAGATTGCAAGAAATTATATATTTTCTGCAAAATTTGTCATTGGTTTCATTTGTAAGAAATATGAAGTTTCACTTCTCAAATAATGGTGTATACTGTAAAATGGAAGCATATTTTAAAAGAAATTTTCCAGTTCTAGTTTTCCATAATTGGTGATTTGCCTGTTTTTTTGTTTTTGTTATAAGTTTAGCTCCCTCTTGTGGTTCATGAGGTAAAATTGTATTTGCTACAGAAAATAATTACTGTACATCCTTAATTTTGCTTGGATCAAATTAAAAAATGGTAAGGTTAATAAACAGGCGCAAAATAACAATTTGCCCTAAATGAATAATGTGATGAACATATAATTACCATAATACATATACATACTTGTGTCCCACATTTCAACCAAAATTCACAGTGACACAGAACTGGAAGACAGGAAGTTGTCCTCTGATTGACCTCCATTTTTCAGTTAATACTGGAAAAAAATGCTGTTTAGACAAGTCAGCTCTTCCTATTTACTTTTGCTAGTTGTGAACTAACAAACTTTTTGCTCTAACCATAATCAGATCATTGTTTCTCTCTTTTATGTTTTTTTTTGTTTGCTAGACACTTAATTCTCATAAATATCTAGCCTTCCTTGCCCAAATTAAGCATCTATAGGGTAGAATTTGACAGTAACACATGTGAAAGGAATCTGAGTGTCTTACTTGATTACAAGTTAAGGAAGAGCTAGCGGTGTTATAATACGCTTTAAAAACGCAAGTGTTATCTAGAGGTGTTTTAATAGAAACACAATGTTTAGACCATGAGAATGAATTATTCCATTATACTCTTCTTCATTGGATCTCATTTCAAATATAGTAATGTGGTCCAGTTCTGAAACCATAGTAACTGTAGTTCAGACTGTAGAATAACAATGACAAACTCAGTTCAGAGGAGGCTTACAAAAGATGTGAAAAATCTGGAAGTCAAGACTCATGAGGAAAGGATAGAGAAAAGATAACTAAGTAGAGATATACTAACTCTTTTCAAATACCTAAAGGAGATCATCTCAAAAAAGCAATAGATTTTTTCTATTGCCCCTGAGGGCAGAAATAGAACAAAGGAAGGAAGGAAGTTCTGATTAAAATCAAGAGGAATGTCCTGATTATATGAGCATTAGCCGGTGGAAAAGGCTGCTATATCACGTGATACAATCTCCTTTGCTACAGGTCTAACAAAGATTAAACAGAAGATAGTCAAGTCCATTTTCCAGTTACTAGAAGGGCTGAATGAGCATCAGTTAGAAACGCTGTAGTGCAGGGGTGTCAAACTGGCAGCTCGCAGGCTGGATGCGTCACGCACAGGCCACACCCACCCCAGCTTCGCAAAGGCAAAAAAGTCACGATACATCATGTGACATGATCGAGTTTGACACCTGTGCTCTAGTGCAGGGCTTTTCAACCTTTTCACCGATTGTACCACTTTTAGGATATAGCAATATTCGAGTACCACTTAGCAAGGGGTCAAAAACTTGATGACCAAAAAAAAAAAAACCCCTGTTCAAAGTTGCAATTGCACTGAAGTGACTTATGACCATTTTTCACACTTATGATCATTGCAGCATGCCCAGGGTCATGTGATTTATATTTGGATGCTTGGCAACTGATTCATATTTATGATGGTCACAGTGTCCCAGGGTCATGTGATCCCCTTTTGCAGCCTTTTGACAAGCATAGTCAATGGCAGGGCTGCTGGTAGCCAAATGCTAAGGTGGGACTTCCTTCCCTGCCTCCCTCTTTCTCATGCCCACCTCCTTCTGAAGGAAGAATTTGAACCCCCCCCCCATATTTTCTCTCTTTCAAATAAGGAAAAGCCTCCCGAGACAGAAAAGACAAACTGCTGAGTGAACTAGCTTAAAAAGGCACATTCCCCTTTAAGAATTAGCTACTGGCTAATAGCCTCTCCTGTTTCTGCCCCCCTCGTCCTCCTTTCTCATGGATAGCCAGAAGTGAGCCTGGGGCCTTTGCCTCGCCCCAGCCACTCTGCAGCCCCAGAGGACTCTCTCACAATAAGTCCTTGCCTGCGCTGGCTCTTTCCCTTCCCCACTACACTTGGCTAGGCAGGGCTGCGTACCACCTGTCACTCGTTAATGTACCACAATTAATGTACCACAAGTGGTACATGTACCACCAGTTGAAAAGCCCTGCTCTAGTGGATCCTAAACTGAGGAAGCAGTTGGACCTTGTATCCAACCCTATGAGTCTCCAGGTAGCTCATAATTATAAAAGGAAATTTATTAGTTTTTCAAGTAGTAAAGTACTTAATTTAAATATATATAATAAAAACCAAAATACAATGTCAAAGTTCTCAAACTGCTAAGTAAAACCAACCAGAAAAGACATAACAAAACAAAATAAAAATATTTTTATTCTCTTCCAAAACACAAAAGGAGAATGAAAATGATCTGGTCTAATTTATGCAATTATCCATTCATTGTTTTGTGTGAAGAGGATTAGGAGCTTATCAGCACTTTAAAGGGATATACAGAATTTACAGAGTAACAAAGTTGAAAGGGACCTTGAAGGTCTTCTAGCCCAACCCCTGCTTAAGCAGGATATCCTATACCATTCTGGATAAAATGGTTGCCCAATCTCTTCAGAAGTAACCCATTTCACTAATGAATTGTTTTCAGTGACAGGAAATTTCTCCCTAATTCTAGGTTAGATCTGTCTTTGATGAGCTTCCATCCATTACTACTTGTCCTGCCCTCAGGGGCTTTAGAGAATAGGTTGACTCCCTCACCGCTGTGGCACTATCTACTGAATGATGCAGTGAATAATACAAGAAGTGGTCAAAAGCCAACTTGCAATCTTCCAAGTATTTGTACAGTTCCCCCATCCTCTTTTCACAGGAATGCTCATTCAAATTTAAAAATATTGCAGTTGTGACTGCCAATGTCGTGAAAGGCCCTGCAAGGCCCAGCTGATATAAGATTCCCTCAATGCTGAAAAGAGTTAATCTGGTGCTCAGAGTTTTATACTAAGCATGTTCCATTATTTCTTGTTCTTTCAACTAATCTAGACAGTTTCAATGGTTATAGAATACATGTAGTCCTTGACTTAGGATCATAATGGAGCCCAGAATTTCTGTCATAAGTCATAATAGTCATAAGATAAGTCTTCCACATAACCAGACTTGATTTTATGACATTGCAGCAGTCATCAAATAAACATTCATTAAATGAATGCTGTGGTTATTAAGTGAACACCATGGTTATTAAGCAAATCCTTATAGTCTTATAGGCTTTTTTTGCCGGAAACTGGCCAAAAAGGCTGAACACTGGGAAAAAAAAGTCATAAATCATGGCCACGTGACCATGGAACTTTGCAACAACCACAAAGGTGAGCCAGTTGAATCTTAACAAGGAGAAAATTATTTATGTATGACTAAAATAGCACAAATAAAAATTATCTTTTCAGATCTTCCTTTATTTTATGGCTCTCATTTTTTTAAGTTGAATTGGTATACATATATACTGGATGCTTTAGCCACAAACATGGCAGGACAACAATCCAGTAAATAGGTCAAGATTTTAAAAGAATTTATTGAAAGAAGATCTAGATGCTATCTTTATACAGACTTCGCTACAAGTCTGATGTCACAAATCTTGTAAGAGTGGGACATTCTTTTTGTTAAGAAATTTCCTGATTTAATCACATGATGACTCATGAAGCCATTTAAATGACCTTCTGGAGCCATAATACCTGGCTAACTTACCAGATTATTCATATTTTGACTATTTGTCATGTGTCAGGTGAATGATATATTCTTTCTTCTCTGGCTTTTAACTCTTTCTATCTCTGTTTTAAAATTTGATTTCTTAATGCACGTTAGTATTAGTAATTATTTTAGAAGTTGTTGCTTCTAAGTATCAGATATGTAGTAACACTGGGACTTTAGAAGGATTTCAAACCTTTCCCTGTGGAGGCCATTCTATGCAGTGAAGTATACTTGACCTTATAAGCAAGTCGTTCTGATTCTTTCTGGGAATGTTTTGTATGTTATATAAGGAAAGGGGGCTGGAATGGGTTCCATGACATAATACTTCTGATATTTCTGTGTTTCTATTGGCCTTCAGTGCATGACAATGGGGGGGAGTCAGGAATCCTCATGACTGGCAGCTTCTTTCAAAGTTACCAGGTATTTATTTATTTATTTCTAAAATTTATATGCCGCCCAATCCCAAGGGACTCAGGGCGGCGTACAAAATTAAAACAATAATATGACAATAAAACAATAAAATAAATACATTCATACAGCGTGTCCGATCATAAGTAGCAAGAGGAGTGGCCATTGGCAAAATGCAAAAACTTTCTTTCCATCCTCACACATTCTACATTTGAACAATTATTAGTACTCATGCAATCTATTTCTAGACTTCTGGACTAGTTACTTTTACAGGTGAATTCAATGATCTTAGATAAAGCTGTAGACAGCAAGCTCCTCTAGAATTCTTCTGAAAGATATTGCTTAAAATGCTATGCATGCCAAGACTGATAAGGAAAAGAATGTAGACAAAGACATTCACAAGCAATGAGGCATCAGTAAGGGGGCTCAGTAGAAAAGAGTAGATAACAGCCTTTTCATCTCTGTATTGGGTATAAGTAGGAAATTCAGAACTGAATGATCTTACAGGACATTCTTGATCCCCAAAACCTGCTGTGGAAATACTAAAATCTGGACACTATGAAGGTGTACTTTCTGGCCGGTATTCTCTTATTTTGTCTTCTGGCGCTGGAGGATTCTGAAGCAGCTCCATTAAAAACAGAGGCAAGTGACCTAAAATGGCAATGTGGACAAATGTTATCATACCATTCAACATTTCCCCTTTAAATTAAAATGTTATTCAGAGTGGTTGTGTACTTTAGATTATTTGAGCATAGTCTGCCAACAAAATAGGAAGCAATTCTGGAAAGATCCTTATTATGATACCCCATGTATTATTCTGCACCAGCATCTTGTGTCTTTTTTTACTGCGCTTCAAATTCTACAGTTTTTTTTATTATTATTTTTAATTCTAAAGCAATCATTTTCCTCTCTTAATTTTATTCTTTTAGAAAGAGCAAGATAAACAAAGAAAATCGGTAAGAAATTGTTTTGCTCTGTTTGCATGTGTGCAGCTATGTGTATTATACTGCCCATTTCAATCATGCACATTATATATATATATATATATATATATATATATATATATATATATATATATATATATATATATATATATATATATATATATATACAACCACCTTAATGAGATGCTTTTCCTGAAAGGCTAGTTTCTCTCTTTGGATGCTGTGAAAGGATGGGCAGACTGTCTTGATGAACAGCTAATGTAGGACTGATCTACCTTAATCAGCTGCTCTGCCTCACTGAAAGTAGTATCGGCATCAGGGCAGGAGTGTGGGAAGATGCTGCTTCACTTTGTGGGGTTGCTTTAAAGGAAACATACTTTAACCACTAAAATAGAATGTGATTCATTGGGTTTTAGCTTGGCATGTTGTGTGATGCAAGTTATTATGTTTAATCAGTAAGCCACGGTTCCTGTAATAAAATGATTACCTTGGGTGAGTTTGAGTCCCAGTGACTCCATAGTTATGTTCTTACTGCCCTACCATAGATAAATGAATTGTAGTATAGTAAAATTTGTTATATATATATATATATATATATATATATATATATATATATATATATATATATATATATATATATATATATTGGGATAAATATATTGGGAAAATGCATATAGAGAATAAACTATTTTAGCTGCATAAAACATCAAAATGTGATATAGCCAATAATTAACTTTCATCTGGTTTATTTCAAATTTGGTTGTCCCAAAACAACCTGTACCTGCTTCAGTGGTATGAATTGTTAGTTCTGAGTACTTGAATTGGCCTCCTCAAATCTAGTAATCAAGTTCAAAATGAACTTTGAAATGTACAGTATTTTTATGCATCTTGGTTATTTTTTTCCTATTATAGATTGTAAAAGTAGGTCGAGATTGCAAAACATCAGGTTTTCAACCCAAAGATGGCAGCATTTGTTTGAAACTTACAGTTGTGGTGAGCTACTTGTTTTTGGATGATTCATAACTCTCTGATAGAAAACATGATATATGCATTAAATATTTCAGGTATAATCAGTATAATCTTTTACAATTCCACTAGAAGGATCTCAGATCTCAAGTCTAAAAAGTTTTGTTTGATATCCATAGAACAGCTGGCAGGCAGGCAATTGGATTTGTCATCCTTATGGCAGCTTTATTTAGATCTCCAGAGTCAACATCTATATATCTCCATGCTTTCTTGAATGACCAAGGGTCACCTTCTTATGGGTAAGAGAAAATGTGCATCAAGATAAAGCAATTCTGGGTGGATTCACCTTTGAATCTTTACTGTGTAGACATTTTTAAAGATACTTTATTGGGCAATGTACTGTACTTCAGTCTGCCTGTTTGCTCAGGAATGAATAGATATAAAGAAATGAACTGAAATGAAGTCTTCTTTATAAACTGTTTTCAGAGAGATCTGCATTACCTTGATAATTAATATTATGCTTGCCTATGCAGGCATCCACCTGGGAAAAACAACAACCAGAAGACATTTCTTAATGTGTATCAGCCTCCCAGTCAGACAAATTCATCTCAGTTCCAAACCCACCTCTTATTGTCAGATATCTACAGATATATTGTTGTCTACAGATGTCTATCCAAATTAGATCCTCCAAGCCCAATAGCTTTGAATGAAAAAAGCAAGAAGGGAAACGTTTTGTTCCCACTTCCTCAGAGCCTGGTAACTCTGAATGGCTATTCCTTCTTCTTTGGAGGGTGTTGCAATATCTTTTTCACTCTAATTATCTAACCTAAACGTGCCAGCTATTGCCAGATACTGTATCACATACTGCCATTATTCATGTTATCTTGCTAGTTTGAGATACCAAATGAAAACTGTGTGAAAACTTGTATTTTTTTAAAATTATAATTGGCTAATCTTCCAGTTTCATTAAGGAAGCATGGATGAGAACCAAGCTACTTCTAGCTGAAACTGAGGAGAAGAATAAAAGCTCTTGATTACCTTATTGAGCAGACTAGAGCAGGGTTTTTCACACTTTTCACCCGTTGTACCACTTTTAGGATATGGCAATATCCGAGTACCACCAGTCGCCTAGCAAGGTGTCAAAAACTTGATGACACCCCCCCCCCAAAAAGGAAAAAAGTGATAAAGTACAGGTAGTTCTCGACTTACAATAGTTTGCTTAGTGGCTGTTCAAAGTTACAATGGCACTGAAAAAAGTGGCTCCCAAGCCACAGCCAAGCAAGACACCTGCCTGCCCACCCGGCGGCGCTCTTCCTCCTATCCGAGGTTTTCATTGTTATGAGCATTTCTGTTGAGGATTGGCAGCGGGGGTGGGGTTGGGGGTGTTTGGTTTTTATTCCCCGCGTCTGATGGGTGATTGCAGCAGGTTTTGGTCACTTCACATGACCCTGGGACACTGTGACCATCATAAATGTGAATCAGTTGCCAAGCATCTGAATGTAAATCACAAGACCCTGGAGATGCTGTAACATTCCAGCTGATTGGTGCTTCTTCTGGGCTCAGCAGAAGCACAAAGATCAGTGCTGCTTTCCAGCTGATTGGTGCTTCTTCAGGGCTCAGCAGAAGCGCCAGGATCAGCGCCGAGCTTCAGCTGGAGGCTGGCACTCATCCTGGCGCTTCCGCTGAGTCCTGACAGCCCTGTAGCTCCAGCCATCTCTCACTCAGCTTGTGCGGTGCTGCCACTGGTTCAGCTCATTCCCCTCCACCGCTACCACTTTTCTAGGATGGTCGCGTACTACCTGCCAGGTGCTACTGTACCACAGGTGCATTGAAAAGCCCTGGACTAGAGAACTGTAGTTCTAGAAGTTCTATTTCAATTGTAAAATTGCATGAGAATTTCCCAGGAAGAAGGAAGTCAATAGCTACTGTCTTATATTGGATAATAAATCACTAAGTTTGTAAATATTTCTATTCATTTTGGTTTTATATGCAATTCTGTTTATAAAGCAGATAGAATAACCCACTTTTCTCTTCTTCCAGGCAGGAGTCAATGTGAACTTTGGTCTAGTAAGTGACTTTCTTTGTTTTCAAATGTTTATGACATAACATTGTCTTTAACTTTAAATAACAAAAGATTGGATCTGAGATATTATTTAGTCATCTAGACATCATCCACATGTCTAAAATTACCTAATTTTTAACTAAAAGAAATAAAAATAGAGTAATCATTTTCAATTAATCCAGTTTCATCAATGGTTGGAGCAAGTAGGATGAATTTACATTGATTTTGGCTGTGGAGAGAATAGGAAAGCTTCAAGAAAACGTTAAGTAGCTTGAAATTGCTGAATTTGATAATAAACATCCTGATATTGGTTCTTTAAAGTTTTATACTGTGTTATGCTGTTGTCAGAAATTAAGACATTCAGAGTATCCCTCTTCTACAGGGCTATGAAGAAAAAGATAAAAAGCAAAATGTGAGTTTCTGCTAAAAATAATCCTGCTACTGAAAAAGGCTGCTATATAGAGAATATTTTTTAATCCTGTAGATTGGCAGGATGAATCCTTCAATCAGCAGCTCCTTATATATTCCAAGACTAAAATGCCTAAGAGGAAATATTATAGAAAGGCTTATATATACGTTATTTTATTTACTATTCTTCCTGTGGTGTTTCTTGCTGTATTCTTTTATTTTCAGTGTTGCATTGTTTCATTCTCTTTAGTCTTTGATAGATTTACAGACTGCTTAGATATTGGTCAGTTACTGGACAGATTAGAAATTAAGTCTGCTTAATATAGTGGAATTGGGTAGATGAAAAGCAGATTTTACTATGAAAATAAAGGATCTCAGAAAAGATCTTCCTTTTCATATAATGAAACTCTGTCATTCAGACCCTTATCCATGTGCATCTCAGCTAAATTGCTAGACCACAAACAGAACTTAGAATTTCTTTGTTGTTGTTTGCCTACTTTCATTTCCATAGAAAACATTGCAAAGATAGACATGCCCTGGTTACTAATGTCTATTTTTTCTTCTATATTTGACATTGGTTCTTCTGCCCAGTTAGATAATTTTAGACAGATATGCACTTCTCAGACAAATCTGTTTTACTATGCCAATAATCTGAATTATGCAAACATAGAAGCAAGCACTTTTTCCCTCTTGCTTTGCCAATTATATACACAAATTTAGCTTTAATAGGGATAATGACCAATCTTTTCTTTTATATAGCTAAGCTTCCAATCAAAACTTTAAATTTCCCCAACAATAAATGTAGCCACTGCTGATAAAGATTCAAAATGTGCTGCATCTAAGAATACGCAGAGATGGCTGTAGTGTGTATAGATATACACAAACAGTTTAGTAATAGTTTAAATACAAATTCATCTTTTAAACATAATTGGTATTGTTGTGATCCTTATATATTTAACTTTTGCTCTAGATTTCCTTTTGGAAGGAAGTGCTGAATGAAATACTAACTTTTCATTCCTTCTTTTTTCAGGGTGAAAAGGGCATCAAATCTGTAGTAGTAGTAGTACCTGCAGTTGTTGTAAAATCTGTTCATAATAATATGAATAGATTTCTTTTTCCCTAGCTTCCCAAGCTAATATTAGGCTTAGATTGCTTCAAAAGATCTTTTTCTTCCACACTTGACTGAATAGAAGAGTAGCCAAATTCTTCAGTACACAAAAGCCTGAAACCAAGATGCTTATTTTCCGTGGGTCCAAGAGGTGCACATGCTATTCTGTGGCCACACAAAGCCACAAAAACACCCCCACAAAACACAGAGCCAGTTTGGTGTATTGGTTAAGGTGTTGGCCTAGAAACCAGGAAAATGTGAGTTCTAATCAACCTAGGCTTGAAAAACCTGCTGGGTAACTTTGGGCCAGTCATTTTCAGCCTACCTCTTTTCACAGGGTTGTTATTGTGGGGAAAAGAAGGAGGGAAGGGTTATAGTTTTATTTATCACCATCTTGGGTTATATATTTTAAGAAGTCAGGAAAAAAATCTAAAAAAAAACCCCACACTCCAAAAATGGGTTGGATTAGACACCAAAATGGGCACATTTCCCCCTTTTTTCTCTTTTTCAGTTTACTTTTTAGATTTATTATTTACTCAATATGCAAGTACATAGTTTCTTCTCCATAACTACCCTATAAGAAAAAATTGAAAATAGTGCAGATTATTTTGCCACCAGTAGAGGGCGAGCTATATAACATTTATGATTGGAGTGGGGGAAACAAGGTAAAGAGAAAGACCAAGAGATGGGAGCTGGAACTCTGAAACAGGGAGCTGAGAGTAGAACCAGATAGAGAGAAATACAGAATGGCAAAAATGTAGAAAAACCATACAGAAAGGTGGAAAGGGGGAGAAAGTGGTGAAGGGAAAAGCACTAGTCAGTAGGCACAAAGGTAGAAAATAAGAGGGACCAATAGGTTATCAGAAATACCTTGCAATCCTTCTGTGGCTCCACCCTGTCTAACTACATGCCTGGTCTAAAGCACATATACTTTGCAAACTTAATTTAAGACTTAAAATGTTTTCAATAGCATAGATTTCCTTAAAGTTAGAAGAAGGCAGCAATCAATCAATTGAATCTTTATTTGCTTATAGAGTAGCAAATAGAATGCAAAAGTCACAGTTCATTAAGATAAAAAGCTGCCCAGAGTTACCCTATGGAAAGATGGGTGGGCAATAAATGTAATAAACAAACAAATAATATAGTTATTTTAAAATATCTAAAAAGGGTTACTATGGCATACTGTGCAGACTACAAAACAGTACTTGGTTGTAGTCAAAGAAATAAAATCTGATTGATCCAACAATAACTTTTTGAGATAAAACAGATTGGAATGACCAGCATATTTAGTAAAGAATACAAATAATAATTCCTGGCAAGCACCTGGATAGAGAGGGCAGTAGAGAATAATAAAAATGATTCAATTATTCCTCTATCTCAACTTAGATATCTAGCTGGATAGAGGAGGAAATGGAGAGTGGCTCAAGAAGGTGTTTTTCGGTAGAGCTGGAAAGTCTGCTTTCAATGGGCTGATGTTGGAGATTAGTTAGTGCATGTTTGTAGTCCATCAAGATGATGGCAGGCCATGAATAGCTGCAATTTGGCATATATTGCCTGGTTCCAAGAACACTGGAAGTTGCAGGTCCTAATTAATTAAAGGGGCCAAACCAACTGGAAAGACATGTTTAAGTCAGTAGGAAAAGATGTAAATCCAGGCAGAAGTTTCAATTTTAAGATAGCCATCTTCACAGCAAAGGACTGTGTTAGAAACTCAGCAAAGTGCTTGAAAGATGGTTCTCAAAAACCTGGACTGAACTCTTCCCAAAGGAAGGGATGACTTGTAGGGGCCCAACTGAGCTCCAAAAATGAACTGGGCTCAGATCTTAGCTAAGAAGACTTTCAGCACTGCAGGTACCGTATATGCTGAGCTCCTTTGAAGAAGTAAAAGGTTTATAAAGCCAACATTGGTTTTTGTGTATTTAAAGTGACATAGTGATTTATGATTATCTATAGCTTGGAAGACAATCCTCAAATATTTAAAGGTCTTGACTTGCTCTATTAAATAGGTATTTGGTCGCCATACATCTTAGGCATCTTAGATATCTTAGACGTCTTAAGGCACTTAGAGAAGGCAATGCCATACCCACAACATGGATCATGCGAGCAGTTCAGCAAGATATGTTAGGCACAGATTTCCCACCCCTAAGAGGCAGTTTTGTGTTGTTGTTTTTCTGAGAAATATAAAGGGGAGACAAATGGATTTTATTTTTCTATTTTTTAAGGATAAAAATGAGGATGGTAAGCAAAATCAAGGAGAACAGGTGAGTTATCATATATGTAATTTCTTTAATGTCATCCAACACTGATTATCATATACTTCCCAAGAAAATATATTTTTAAAAAATCATGACCTGCATAAACTAGGGAGTGGAGGGGTGTAAATTATCTGAAGATCTTGCATGGCCTCTAAAAAAAATGAGTAAATCTTTCACTTGTAGAAAACACTGAATAAAGATCGGGAGGAAAGCAGAAACAGGAACAACAGAAACAAGACCTCCCCCAAAAAAGGCTGAAAGATCCAAGAAATACTTAAGGTATGAAGAGAAATGGAAGTGCTAAGTGCATTTAGGCAGGCAGGCTATTTATATATTTAAATTTGATTATTAGAGAAATATATAGTGCCACCCAATAAATTACTGTTAGAATTACTTAGGATCAGAATAGAACTATCCATTCAGCTGGTATACCATAGTCATTCCTCACTATGAATGAACTGAGAAGCTGATTAGTTACAGCAAAGCAAATTCTAGTCAGCACACCATTCTGTTTTCTAAGATGCTGCTCCTCTTCTGAGCCACATGCCAATTGAACATACCTAATTCATTTAGTTGCTTGAAGGATTTTTTCCATCCTACAGGGTTTTCTTTTGTCTTCTTGTGCTTCTACTAGCCTCATTTGGACTATTTCATTTTGACCACAAAAGATCTTTTGAAGAATTGAGTTCATAATTAGCATGTAGAATAAGAAGCCATATAGTCATGACTTCCAGGATCTGAACCAAGCACTGGCCTGGTCGAAATTTCTGGAAGAGTTTAAAGAATTATTTCTGCCTCCATGTCATATAGAATCAATCCTACCTTTAGACAGAGTTCTTCATTGTCACAGAATGAAGTCCACAGGAAAAATGTCAATGACGGAAGCTTCTTAGTTGTTCTTCTGAATTAACAGCTCCCTTCTGTTGAAGGACAAAGGTCCATTTGTATGTGATATGTAACCTGTCCCAGACCCTGTAAATTAATCTGTGAGTTCAAGTGTGGTAGGAGAAATTGTTTCATCCACACTACTGAAGAATCATTAAATACAATTGAGCAAATAGTAAAACATGTAGGAGTTTTATTGTTGCATGGAATTCTCTATATAGTTGTGTTTCAGTTGTATTGTGCAGCTGTGTTTTAACAGATTCATTGGATATAATCATTCTAAGCTGCTATGAAATTGATAGGCATTTTCAATGTCAATATATCTAATAATTGCTGTTATCTAAGAGGTGTTGGTGTCTATTTTTTTTTCAATCTTCTCCAGAGTGAACTTTGAGAGACAGCTTCAAAATCATCACTAAACAATGCTTGGCAATCTGCAGCTAATAATAAAGAAAACACCAATGTTTGGATCAAGATTTGGGCTAGTCTATTAACATTTACTGAAGTGTGATTTAGCCAATTAAAAATATACCCTTATGACTGATTCAAACCCTTGCAGCTCTTTGAAAATTATAAATAAAAATCAAACATCTAATACTTTTCTTGTTCTTTTACAAAAATGAAATATTTTTTATTTAGGCAGGATTTAGAATTTTTTTTTTCTATCTGAAAGAAATACATGCAAAGTCCACTATAAACACGATGGCTAAAAAAGAAATTCAGTAAGAAAATCCCCTGTTGAAAATCCGCTATTCTACTTCCCCAATCTTATTGTAAGGTTGATCCCATCACAGAAATGTTGAAGAAACATATGTTCGATCAAGAAGCCAAGGACGGAGAATTCTGAAGCAGTGAGAAATCTCTATGCTGTGGACAATGAACATGGACACTTTCAAAAATCTCTAATACTTCCAATTTTCTGAACATATTATTTTCTCAAGAGATTACATAAGCTATGATGCCATATGTAGCCATCAAGAAGAAGTGGCTTGTTTTCTCTGAAATATTTACCAGCAAATCAAGAAAACGTCATACATTTATTCAGCATAACAGAAGCTGTTGAAAACAAAGCAACAGGCATTGGAATACATTAGAGTTTCATTAATATAAGACCTTGGTATCCTCTTAAGCTTTCTGTAAAGAGGAATATTAGATTGAGTTTATTAGGTTATAGCCATAACCTAAAATTCACTGAGGAACAGCATCTCTCATAATTAGTGTATTACGGTTTATAGAAAAATCTAAGAAGACACCAAATGAAATTCTGTAGGTTTGGAATGGAAATGGTCAATCTGCCTATTAACCTACCAGATTCTACAAATGGTGGAAGTTCTTGCTGTGCTTCCCTCTGAATTTCCAGTTCTACAGGTCCTCTCATCTTTCCTCCAACACACTCCAGGTTACATGCATGGCTATGCCTATTTTATCCTCACAAAAACCTGGTGAGATAATTTATGTTGTTAGGCATTAGCCCAAGCTGCTCAGGGATGTCAGGACCTGGAAAAAACCTGGAACAAAAGGAAGTAAGATGGTCATTCTTTTTCAAAATGGTTTCCTCCAAATGTGTTGAAATTGTAACTCCACAAATCCCCTTCCTCCTAAATAGGCACCAGAATGGAGAATGGTGCCCACACCTAGCCCACTTAATTTCACCCCAATAGTATTTTTTGTAATGTTGGCTTCCTAAATAAAGTGCATGCTCCTTGTTATTTGCCTAGAATTTTCCACAAATCCTGTAGCAGAAAGGGTTGTTTTAGATCTGAGAAGAAAATCGTGGAAATTGCTCAGAGTCTTAGTAGTTTGCATACGTTGCATTAGCAAAACAACTACCAACCTCTTCAAAATATACAACTGGCAAGGAGTGATGCTGATCCATGTCATACTTGAGTTTAATTATGTATTTCATTCTTCTTCATTTTTTCCTATCTTGGATGTGATAATGGCATGCTCAAAATTCATTGCAATCTTGTAGCATACAAGAAAAAAAATACTGTTCAGACTTGCCAAGAAATTTAATGCAAGGTAACCAAGTGAGATTTAAAAAGGATATTTTGTACACTTAGGCACTGAAATATACATTTATTCATATTTTTAAACCAGAAATTGAGAATTTCTTTTTAAGAATATGGGATTTCAGAAATACTATAATTATACAATATGCTTTCTTTAAAGCTTGAGAGTTAGTATGTATCGGCATAAAAACCAGGTGTTTTTAAGAAGTACTTTATGTATAGAGATAGTCCTTGCCTTATGACCATTCGTTGAATAACAATTCAAAGTCACAATGGCACTGAAAAAAGAAACGTACAACCAATCCTCACACTTATAACCAATGCAATGTCCTGGGGGTCACATTATTGTGAGCCTCTTAGCCAGCTTCCAACAAGCAAAGTCAACAGGCGAAATTGAGTTTGCTTAATGAAAGTAGGATTCACTGAACAACCATGATAATTCACTTAACAATCATGGCAAAACAGGCATGACTCAATTAACACCTGAATTGCTTAGCAATGGAAGTTCCAGTCCCAACTGTAGTTGTAAGTCAAGGATTACCTGTACATATATTTTACCCTTTGATAGTTTCAACTTGTTTTGTTACAGTATTTTAAGTTGGAAAAGTGAAGCAATAATGAACAAAAATAACTCAAATGAATAGCAACTTAAGAGAAAATGATTTAATAGCATATTTAATTTCCTAGATCTCTTAGCTACCTTAAATAAAAAAAATATTTGTAACCCAAGTAAGTGAGAAATCTAAACTTCGAGGAATCTTTCAGATATAAATATGCTTTTAAAAGTTAACAACTATGTAACCAATAAAAACAGTGTTCAGAAACACACACACACACACACACACATACACACACGCACACACTGTATTTGTTCAAATGTTTAAGGAAAGCAGAACCCTATTAGTACAGCAAGTGATGTATAAACTCATCTCAAAATCATGAGTGTCCTTACTGCATTGTAAGGAGACATATGCCCTCTTCAGTCATTATAATGCTAAACATATTTTGCATGCAAGGAGAGAAAATTAGGGCAAACTTGGCAGTACTGCCTCCTCTATTTTCTTTGCCTTCAGCTCATGCTGAGTGGAGACTGTTCCAGTGATTCAGAGAAATCAGAATTCTATACCAAGGGAAAAAGCAATATGATTTTATTTCTATCTCCTGCTATTCTTCCCATTCTGCATATAAAAGGCAAGAAGAGTAGAAGTCGAGGGAATAGAGCAGTGATGGTGAACCTTTTAGAGACCGAGTGCCCAAACTGCAACCCAAAACCCACTTATGCATCGTTGGGTGCTGGGTGGGTGTGGCCCATTGGGTGGGCGTGGCTACGGTGGTAACGGCAGACTGGGTGGGACTAAAAAGTTCAATCAATCAATTCCAACTTTGCAAGATCTTTTTTTTCCCGCGAGAAGTTGAAATTGATTGATTGATTGAACTTTTTTTTTTTGTACACAGTGGCAGAGGCCTAAAGTGAAAAGGTTTTATAAAACCCAGCTGAAGACCTAGGACTGGGGTGACGGTGCGTGTGCCCACAGAGAGAGCTCTGAGTGCTACCTCTGGCACCTGTGCCATAGGTTCACTACCACTGGAATAGAGGTTATAAGTTCATCGGCTTCTTTATATAATACAGCTTATAGAAAAATGCAGTGATTGAAGAGATAACATCCACATCTATCTCCACAATTTTTACAGAAAAAAAACTGGAATGAACAAGACTCCATGACTCTATCAAAATTTGGGTATTTTATGAAAGGTAAGAACATGGTATTGTCCAGCATTTAAATCAAATATGCCTGACAATACTGAATTGCTATATTTAGCCTAAACCTGAAAATGCTAAGTCTTATTTTCAGGTTTATTCTAGGTACATGTTATTCTCATTGTACAACTGCATTATAAATGTCTGCTTAAATTTATGGAAAAGGCAGAAAAAAATTAACACCTTAGATTCAGGTTTCTTTTCACTGCAATTTTTCAAGGGAGGAAGAACACATTTTAATCACACATCAAGGTTACCAATGCTGAATAATCAGCTACTGAGAAGTCAAATTATGTATATGTATTACCTAAAAATGAACATCATTGGCCCAAAATGTTAGTTTGAAACAAATTGATGGTCAATGTTTTGGGAACAACACATCCTAAAATTCAATTATCTTAAGTTGAGAACTTGGGCTTTTTATTTTTAGGTTGGGACACTTCTACATATTCCACATTTCATTGATAAGCTTCATTTATATTATGTACTTAAATTGCACAAATCTAAACATCCATGAATTGTTACCAATTACTGATCTAATTTTCCTTCAACAGAAATTAGTTTGGATTTGAATTTAATGCTTTTAAAATATATGTTTTAAGTTATGAACATGTTACAATTTTCAAATATATTATTTCTTGGTTTTTACAGACGCATGAAACTGAAGTCTCCCACAGTACATATATAGACTTTATAAAATAGAGAGGATGACAAACTAAAATAGTTTGCTTTCTTTATAAGTGAATAGAACTACCTTCTTCCTGAATCTTTAATAACTTTATTAAAACTTTCAGTAAATTTATTGTCATAAAAGAATAGACATATTCTAATGCTTTATTTCAGTATGTCTATTTAAGTAGTATTTATTTGAGACAAAAATGAGTAGTGCTTGTCCTGTTTCTCAAAAATGAATTCTGCAAGTTCTTTGTTTACATATAATCTGTCTTTCTTAACCTGATTTGTACAGTACTTACCCTACAAAACATTAATAATGGGTTTTACTTTCAATCATGCAAATTAAAGCATAGTTAAGGAGATTCTACCACACCTAAGAATTATAGTTAAATAGTGGCATGTCTCCATGTTAGTGATCATAAGAATTTAAGCAATTTGTTGTGATTTTATATTAAAGTCCATTTATTAGATTTTGCTAACCTCATATATTAACCTCAATATATTAATATTCTCATATATTAATTAACCTCAATATTAATAGTTTTAACTAATCAGTTAGCTTTTTCCTCTTAAATATGGAAGTAGGATTTTAATCTATAGTGGTATTCTTGGAAGGGATGCCTGCAGATTATAGATCATTTACCCTTAGATAGGAAAGCTTTCCTTCAAATCAGTCTCATTAAAATTACCATGTCAACGAGAGGCCTCACTTGGTGTGAAATTATTCTACTCCAAAGAAATGTTTGTCATATATCACTGATCTGAGAACAATATGGGGATAGCATGCTTAGCTTCAAAATACTGCAGGGTGGTAGGGACTAATGAAATTACATTGATTTGTTGGAAAAGATACAAATAAGTTTTTGTAAAAAGGTCAGTCAAATGATAGCTAACATTTTTATCAAATGTAGGAGCAGGAGTGGAAAACTTAGTGAATATATATTGTTCAGTGGTTAGAGAAACAAAGCTTAGTGCTTTCATTTGACCAACTGGAGACTTTAAAATGTTGCAATCAATAATGCCTGTAATAACCTCACCATTAGCCAACCCTACAAAAAAGCTAGTCCTAGAACGGATATCAGTATTTCATAATGCTTTTTATTGCACAGAATAAAAACATACTCATACTAACTGACCTTATTTGTACCATCTTCCAAAAGTTAATTCAGATCCAGAGTCTCATAAATAAGCTCTTAGCATGACAGCTAATGCGAGAACCTTTCCCAGAAGCCCCTAATAAATAAAGCTCCTGTTTCTTTAAGATGAGCTCCTTTTGCTTCTCTAAAGATATAAGAATACAATGATGTTGAGAGAAACCAGATGAAAGCTTTTACCTCATTAATAAGCTGTTGTCCTAACTGTAAGCCTGATGATATTACTAAAACAAAAACAAAAAAGTGCAAATGTTCATATTAAAAAAAGATATATGTTTTCTTTTTCTATTACTAGCTTCTAGTAGTATTGTGGCAAAAAACAATTATTTATGTGAATAATTTATATTGAAAAATAATTCTGTCAATCCAAATATTGTTTTATAAATGGTTAGGATTACCAGATAGCTGAAAAGGCAAAGTAAGACACACTGGTTATCCTTCTTGACATCCACAACAAAAATTTCAATAAAAAACTGACAAAAAAGTTTAACAATCGTTTAAAGTTATGATGGCACTAAAAAAACTACTTATGACCAGTCCTTACACTTACAATCATCGCAGCATCCCTATGGCCATATGATCAAAACTTAGGTGCTTGACAGCTGGGCATGTTATATTCACGATGGTTGCAGCATTCCAAAGTCACGTGATCATCATTTACAACCTTCCCAGTGAGCTTCTGACAAGCAAAATCAATGGAGGAACCGAAATTCATTTAATAACTGGTATGATTCACTTAACCGTTATATTGCTTAGTGACAGAAATATAAATCCCAGTTGTGGTCGTAAGTTGAAGACTACCTGTAACTGATTAAAGTCTTGTCAATTTGAGGCAGTAGCACAGGGGTGTCAAACTGGCAGCCATAAGCCAGATGCGTCACAGGCCACGCCCACCCCAGCTCTGCAAAGGCAAAAAATGTTGTGATATGTCATGATATGTCACGTGACACGATCAAGTTTGACACCCATGCAGTAGCATAAGCTGACTGGAAGGTACTAATTAAGGTCACAGAGCTGTCCTTGTTAATTTACATTTAGCATTTATTAGGGAAATGTTGTGCCATTGAGAAAAGCTGCTCAGGAAGAAACAGCTCATTACATACAAAAACTGGACAATATTTGATTTTAAAGCTATGTCAGTCAGCCAAAGGACATAAGGACAAAAAGGATATGTTCTCTTTTTGCCTGATAGCTGGTAACCCTGGATACTGGTTTTCTTGAATGTCAGCAGGATTTGTTTCATCTAGGCCATTCCCTGTTGTTGCATTCTTTAACTTTTTTTAAAGCTACTTTTGACAGAATTCCCTGAATGCTTTTGGTAATTCCATTTCTGGATACTGTTTTACAAATTCTGTGATTGTGCTTCTTTAAATTCAAACAGTCTTATGAAATTCTAGAGCATTCTTCATTTGAAAAGCCATCCCTTAAAAAAATACGAACAGTTATTTTTAAGAAGTACTGGCTGTGACTTCTCTCTGATGTTTTTGATACTGTTTTATGATAACCGTAGCAATTATTCCATTTTAAAAGGAAGTCTGTCTTTTTCATAATGTACCCCGTTGATTTCATGTTTTTTTCTGTCTAGTTTAAGCAGGACCATATTTTGGGAACCGCATTTTGATTCCAATAAACTGAAGATCATTTTCATCTTTTTTTTCTTTCTACATGTCCCGTTTCCAGCTTCTTCACAACTTAAGTACTCTTTCTTGTAGTTTTAAGTAGTTCAATTTTAATTATGTATTTCTTAAACATTTCATTATTATTAAGAAACTCTGGACAATTTCATTTGCGCTCCTCTTCAGCTTCTCCAACATAATGAGTAAAACTCAAGCATTCCCATGACAGGAAAAGTCACAGATGCAGCATATTCCCTTGATACTTGTACTCTAGCCTTTGAGCTCAACATGCCTCACCCTGAAAAAAACAGATTTCTTAGAACAAGCAATATTAATTCAGTGCTCTGTTCCTCCCCCATCCCAAGCAAATGCTGCCCACCTTACTTCTCTGGTAACTTCTAGCTTTCAAATGCAACACTGCTTTTTCATTATTTACATTTAAGAAGAGGCACTTTTTAAAAAAAACCAGAAAGTGCCACATACAGTAATTTTAAAGTACTGGCCATTGATCAAACTAAATAACTATATACAACTCCGGACCAAGAATTTTCTGAAGCAGTCCTAAAAATTGTCCACTTCCATACCTCTATTAAGCAGGGCTAATCAGATCTGCTAGTTGCAGATCAATTGGAAATATACATTTATGATACATCAGACTACATAAAAATAATTCATATTGTGTTCTTGAGTGCTGTGCAAAAATATACGTTTCTCGTTATTTAAAATACAGCAGTGGCAAATTATACACCTATTTCATACAGTGTCTAGTAAAACATTAGGTATCTCCAAATTATTCTATATAAATATCTTCTTTGTAAACCAATATGTCCTAATAAATATCTATTTCAGTTCCGTTTGAGCTGATTGCTTTCTCCAATGATCAAATTATTTTCTTGTTCTTCAGATAAAGCCTGCCATTTCTGCCGGTTCTTCCTGCAGCCCTCAAGCAAAGGGTAACAGGCTTCCGATATGTAGGTTAATGCCTGAAAAAACAGAAACATGAATTAGATTAATGGAAAAAGAATTGAGTCTTGGGAGAGCCTCTGTCTCTCAGTGCTTATAAGGAATAAATTAGGCCCTGAAACCAATATTGTCTGGCTCAACACTTTGAAATAAATGAAACTTCTTTGAAATGTGCTTTTAAGGTTGTAAAGCCTTCATCTCAATGGTTAATTACTGTCATCTGCTTTCACCTAAATCCCTTTGAACAGAAAATGCAGTTTTTAATTCAGTTCTTGCATATAACCCTGATACAAATAATTATGCCCTTTGACAGTTTCATGCAGAATACCTCATAAAGCTGTAAGCAGATAGCATCAATGAATCCAACTTGCATGCTGGGAATTTTGTTTTTCTTTTCTCTGTTCATTAAATCCTGAAGAAAAAAAATACAAATATTGGAGCAAGATTAGTTCTAGACATCCAAATATGACCATGTCCATTACCTTGTCCTTTTCAGTCAGGAAAGGTTGGTCTGCATTCAAATCCCATTTCAGTCTCAGTAACCTATATGGTCATTGATAAGCCAGTTTCGTTGATCCCTAATTTCTTTAATTGGGAAGTAGGAATTTTATTGAGGAGGTACAATCCATTAATGCTACCATAATATTGTTAATGGAGACTCTAAATGAGCCAGGTCAAAATCCCATTAAAAAATCAATGTAAATGGAAATATGCATTTAAATGTGACTTCATCATGCTTTTAGTCTCAATAGATCATTTTTCATATGATAAAGTTAATGCTGAATGGTTTGTAATAAAAAAAAAACCAGACACACATGTATTTTCAAGTTGTGGGGCATATATACAGATCATCCAAAATGATCTGTATATATATAAAATCATCCCTTTTATATAAAATACACTTTACATCAACATTTTGTCTCAGAGTATTCTCATTATAATAACTGAGTAATTCTGGTGATTTTCTTTAGTGTCAGATGAAGTGCACATAGAGCATATTCTTTGGAAAGCATAAATCATGGAAATAACTCTTATTTTCAGGTTCATTGTACATACATATTTTCCTAATTGTACAACTGCAGTATAAAATGGCTAGTTACATCCTATAGAAAATAAAGCATAAATTCAATATCACAGATTCAGGTTTTTCTTTCATTGCAATTTTTCAAGAGAGAAGGAACATACTGTATATTTCATTATGGGCTCTCAGTGCTAAATAATCAATCACCGAGAAATCAAGTCCAGTTTATGTATATCTAAAATGAACATCATTGACCCCATAAATGCTAGTTTGAAACATGTTGGTGATCACTGTTTGGAGGTATTAAACACATAAATACAAAAAGTTGAAAGCTTGGGCTTTTGTTGTTAAGGTTCTTTGGAAACTTTTAGATATTTCATATTTCAGTAATAAGCTGATTGGGTTGCAATAAAGGAAAAAGAGGGGTTCTTGGTGCTCTCGGAGCTTGGTTATTTTCTTGCAGATGTTTAATTATCCATTGATAACACCATCAGTGCTCTTTTCAGCCCCTCTTTTCAACCTCTCATTTCAACCCTGAGCTACAAACCCTTTATCAGTAAAGGATAAAGAATTCTAACTATATTTGATAGAAATATTTGATTTTGAATGAAATAATAAAAATGCTATATAAAATAAATTTCTAGAACAAAACAGTCTTAAAATGTTGTGCTTCTACTTACTGTGGGTTCAATATTAAGTTCTTTCCTTTCTTTATCTCCTTGGTCAAAGAACTCTGCAGCTACAAGTTCAGCAATCTGCATAAAGGAAAATATATGTCTGCTATCTTTTTTAGTAAATGTAATCAATAGATAATAATCTTTGTATCTAGTATAGCATAGTAGTTAAGATATTGGTATGAGAACTAGGTTCATGTCTCCATCTGATTATGGAGCTCCCTGATGTTTACTAGCCACTTTCTCTGAAGTTCAATGGCATACTAGGGTTTTCTGGTTTAAAATTAGGGGGCAAACCTACTAAATAAGCTCTTCAAAAAGGCAGATTATAAATAAAAGGAGAGAGAGAGAGACTATGCACTATTTTTAATGCTCTCTTTCTAAGAATTTTTTACCGATTTACTGACTGTGTCACGTTTCATTGCAAAATCAGTTTGTACAATAATCTGCTAGGCAGCAATTAATATCTGTGCCAAATGCAGAGTGGGTTCAGATGGGAGGAATAGCAGGAACAGTACATTCAGGAAATAAGGAATCGGATCAAGCTTTTGGGAGATACCTACCCGCTGCTGAACTGGCCATGGTTTTGTTATTGCTGATAAGTCACATGCAGTCATCAACATTGCCCTGTAAAAGCCAGAAAGCCATACTTTTACAATATATTTTGAAAAGCATAACACTTCTATAGCAAAATAAGAATATTTGTGACATCCCAAATTTCATTTAAAAAACAAAACTCTGGAAACATACAAATTCATCGTGACTTGAATAGATGAAAATGATAATATTTGTTATTGTGGGACTTAAAATATTGCAGTAAGGAGGGCATAGCTCCTTTTCAAATTGCTATTCATTTTTCCCACCATTCAATGTCTTTCTCTCTCTATTAAGCCATCATAGATTTCTATGTTTAGTGACTATTCCTGATCCTTATTGAAAGAGTATAGCTCAGTGTTTCTCAACCTTAGACTTCAACTCCCAGAATTCCCCAGCCAGCATGCAGCTAGAGATGACTAGATCCATGGAGGACATGTTCTTAGGAACATAGCTGGAAACAACTCCCTAACATGGTCCATGCTTAAAGCATTTATGAATGTCCTACAACTAGCCCAGATCATTACAGTCACTGGTTTACATAATTATATGTCACTGTAGATCACATCTGTTTTTGCTTGCTCTCATATAATTCATGAAAGGCAACATTCTTTCCTTTTTGATGAGTTATATATTTGATAACAATAGCTGCTGCCAATGTTGGGCTGCTATAAAACTTTGTCCCACTAAAAAAGGAAAGACTTGAGAAACCACTATGATTCAGTGTTCTGAAACCAGATCTATTCTAGACAATTTACAGACTCAGCCTGTGGCCAGATCTTTATCTTCATTGGCTATTTGTGACAGCTCAGTCATTCATTTATCATGGGCATTAATAAGCAAGATAATATGTTGCAAAAGCTCATGGTATGGTGACCGGTCAGTAGTAACTGAAAAGGTCAAAGCTCCCATCCGGCCACATCCATAAGAGCATGTAGAAACCATCCTCAGTTTTTATATATCATGTGCTATAAAGCAAAAGTGTCCTATATCCATAATGAACCTGATTCTTGCTGATGGACTAGATTCCTGTTGTAAATGTAAACTAACTACTCTGATGCAAAGCAAAACAAATATTTACTCTGAAAGCTAAGAATACTGATTTTAACAGTTCAGTGCTTTTAAACAATAGACTTTCATCCAAAGAACAATATGGTACTTTGTCAAGTCATGTTGGAAGATAATCTTCTTTGGCAAATAATATGAGACCTTACCAAATAATTAGAAGCAAGTAATTCACCCATATTTATGTAATTTTTGTTCTCTTACTGCCCAGCCCAATCACCCAATGAAAGCAAACCAATAATTGCTAACTCTAGGGAAAAAACCAAACTACAATAATATCCTTAAAAAACTTACAAAAATAATTCCTTTTGATAAGGCTCTTGTGGGTTAAACTGATTATTCCTCAGAAGGTCAAAAAACTCTCCTCTTCTTCTGAAAAGCATACAAACATTTATTATTTATTAAATGCCTAAAAAGGAAAATTTGTACAATTTTACATTCTTAAAAAACAAAGGAGAAAAATCACACATCCAAGCCTAAAGTATAATTACTGCAACTTACTTTATGTATAGTGCTAAATCTGTGGCAAGAATAGCTTGCTTGATGATTTTCAATGTTGCCTTGTATTCTTCAACAGAAAGAGCACTGAGAATCTGATTACCCTTCGTCCAAAAGAAAACAATGGAATAAGAATGCATTGATTATAATGATACAGTGACTTTGACAGGCTCTTGTTAAATTCTACACACTACATTATTTTCTTATATGCTGAAAGCAAAAATATTGAATTTTTAAAAACTCAGTTATTAAAACTGAGGAAGAGGAAAACATAACTAGGTAAGAACCCTAAGAAAGTATAGTTTTTTAACTATTCAGTTGAGAAAATATAAGCAGCTACTATTGAATTTTTCTCACCAAACCCTGGAAAAAAGCTACTTTATGGATGCCATCTGTGATATCTCCCATGGTCTATGTTTGTGTGCACACTGCTGACACTGCCATATTCAGTATCTACAATAACACACCCAAACATAAATTGTTGTAAATTTTCTGAGAAAAAAAATAGAAATATCCCAGCTACCATCTTCTTCTGCCAAAAAATAGAAATGGAGAAGATGAAACAGATCTTTATATACACCTACACCTGATATAAAATATTCATATTTTATTGCTGTGCCTTATTCCTGTACAGAAGCAAGCAGAAAAAATGCACAGTTCAATTGCAAGGAATAGAATTTGCCTGACATTAATTCTCTCTTTGTGCTCTACAAAATCCTTATGCTGTTCTAAATTGATGCAGGACCTGGCACAGCTTCATCAACAAAGATGCATTATTTATATATGTTCTGCTGATATAATTTTACTGACATTTTTCAATGTGTGTAATCTTGTAGCTTATGGCACAGTGTAAATATCTTGTTCTAGATATCTATCTTTAAGCATGTAATGTAAGTGAAATTAAGAGAATTTTCAACTGACAAAAACATGGAAACAAAAGTAACTGAAGGAGTAAGAGTTTCATATTGAGCTGAAAATATTTTGTAACTTTTTGTTTGGTCATTATCAAAGTTCATAAAAAACAATGCACAGGTTTTGCCTTTAGTTCACTGCTTCCACAAGGTTAGAAATCTTGCTTTTACCAACAATGCTTAAGGTTCCTTAGAAAGATTAAGCGAATTTTTAAGCATATTTTTTTTCTTTTTTCATTAGGGTCAAGTTAGTGTGTGTTTTCAAATATTAACAAGGTCTCCCGAGCTTATCACTCAGCATTGGAAAAGCTCAATAGCACAGCTTAGAATAGGGTTGAAAGATACTACTGGAAATTGTTCAAAGACTAAACTGGATATGATTTTCTTGTAAATACAACTATCATTTACCGGTGTGTTTAGGATCATCAGGCACTGATCAAAATGATGATGTTCCATTATTGAGTGGCAATATAGCTGTGCAAGGGGGTGCTCACTTCTGAAAAAAAAAACAAAAAACAGGCCACATAGAATTATCAGAAGTAATTAACTACAGATACAGAATAGCTTTACAAAGTTAAGAATATGGGAAATAACATTCCCCCACTCCCATTTGTAATAATTGCGGAATATGGCTGAAAGAAAACAAAACCTTATTCATCCTGAGATGCCAAGTAAAATGGCAGATCTGCAATTAGACATATGATTAGGAAAACGTTCAAAATATAAATTTTAAAATACAGAATCCTTCAAAATTTGGTCTCCAATTAACTTTGAACATCACTCAGTGAGGGAAGGGAAAGGCGACTGTGTGCTGCATAAATGAGAAGTATCCAGGTATAAAAAGCTAGACAAGTGATAAGATGTACTAGGATATTACTTTTTTCCCATATGACCTGGCTGAGAAGAAAAAATTCATCCTGTATTCTAAATTGCCTAACATTTTTACAGTGTATTAATTCAATTTTTTTAAAAATAAAATGCTATAAAAAGGTAATGTGTCTTGCACTCTTACAGACACTTTCCTAAATAGAAACCTTTCCTAACCTTAAAAGATACCATGAAAGGAACAGTGACAGAGAAATAAGATAAAGCTTTTCTCCTCATACAGCGACTAGTGTTCTTTGTACCATTATACTTCATTTTTATAGACATTTCTAAAAAGTATGTATTATACTATTAATATTGGCCATTATGTATGTATGTGCATAGAAAGGGGGGAGAGAACATATTTTTATAATAACCTATACAGCTATAATATTTTGGAAGATATTATTTTTTGACCGAAACAATGGCAATTGTCACTGGACTTTACTAATGGTTATCTGTCCAGCACCATCTGAGACCAATTGCCACCAATTGCCTGTGGAAAAGGATGGAGGCTGGTTCCCTCCCTGTCTCTTGCCTCAGAATCAACATAACCAATTGTCCCAATGGAAGAATTTCTGGAGGGAGGAACTGCGCTGGAAATAAGTGAGACGTCTACTTAGTGTGATTCTTCTTTCCCTTTGTGCCACCAAGATATTGCTACCAAATGATTTGTGGAGAAAACACCAAAGTTTGTTGTTAGGTATATTTTTCTATTTTTATTTAATAAATAATTTTTATTAATTAATTAATTATTATTTATTCTTTTATTTATAATGCCTTGTTTTTAAAAAATAAAGAACAACCCACTCATCCAAAACATAAAACCTCTTTAAAAACTCCAGTTCCCCCCATAGGAACCCTTACTACTTTACAGGATCTATCATCTCATCTACTTTGCATAACTGTTCTGCCACTGCAGTTCTCATAACCCAAAATAATTTAAATCTGGCTCCAGGACACCAAAACATTTCCTGCTTTTGATTTAAAGCAATCTTGACAAATATATACTCAGAATCCCTGAAAACCCTAAGAGAAGATTCCACAATCTGTCTAGTTAAAACTTCTCCAAATATCATGGCTGAAATGTTAATTCAAAATGAAAAATAGAAACATTAAACTGAAATATGCTTTCCTTTTATCTGCCATTTACTCACCTCTGTATGTAAGAATTATTCACCCCCCTGTGATCTAAATCATGGCTCAGAGCTGCAATCAGCAAAGAAAGTACCTCAACATCAGTAAGTTTGTTCTGTGCAATATGAAGGAGAGATAAATTACTATATTTGCAAACGTATTTGACATGGTACCAATGATTTACATGTTGTTTCTTTCTTTCTTTGGCTGTTTTGATGTCGATACATTTTGACATTCACTCTTAAACTGAAAGTAAATAGATTTATATATATGGTTATTTTAGTTGAGTAAAATTAATCTTAAATGTGTATTACAAATAATACAGAATTCTGAATAGATATATTATTTGGCCCCCAAATAATTATGCAATTTTGTATTGTATAAAACTTTATTTTAATATTTCATGGTTACAAATCCAATATTTAAAAAATAAACTATGCAAAGCAATAGTTTATCATACCATGTTCATTTTCTACTCTTAATTATGCAAATCTACCTCATTTAGGCCCAAATTCAGCTGTGCCAAATTTGCAATACACAAATATATCCAAACAGCAAAGGTTCAAGAGTTTGACTAATAGAGAACTTTGATTTGCTTTTACTCTCTTGAGCTGTACTTGTTCCACAGGTTTCTAATTCCGTGTAGAGTTGAGTTATATTCTCTGTTTGAGGATTTCTACTTGTTTGCTTAATCACAAACTGAACAACATTCCACATGCAGTGTAAATATCTAATATTTTTAGAATAAAGCAACAGACATCATAGTAGCCATCTGAAACCTAAAGACTAATATACACAGACTTTAAACAGGCAATCTGAAGCCTCCGGTGTACCTGAACTGACAGCCTGGAGTTTCATGGTAATTACTGAAAATCAGCAGCACAGCTACTTCCCATTTTGAGGCAATTTTGTAAGTCCTAAATATGTTTACACTATTTGAAAATAAATAAAGGAAAACTATTTTCAACTCCACAAACACTTTGAACTGTAGTGCTGGAGAAAATTATTGAGAGTTGCTTGGATAGCGAGAAAAACAAATCATCCAGTACTAGATACAGTAAAACCAGGCTGCTTTTTGAAAGCACTGATAATCTAAATTATTTTGGAAAAATAATATAAAGGCAAGAGAAGGCCTCAATGCTTGCAAAAATCAAGGCCAACTGACAAAGAGCTACAGAAGACATTGTGGCTACGTAACATCACTGGTGTCTGAAGTATGAACTTATAAGAACCAAAGAAACCATAAAACTGAAGCAACTGAATAATACATTTCTCATTCCTCAAAAAAAAAATCAGGAAAAAAAGAGTCTGGGTTTTGCTTAGATGTGTGACACTAAACTAACCATCTTAGTAGTTTTAGAACCTGATCACCAAAAAGTTGCCAACACATCATCTAGAGCAGGGGCGTCAAACTCATAACATCACGTGATGTGTTGCAATGTATTGCAACTTTTTTGCCATTGCCGGCAATAGGGTGGGCGCAGTTTTGCTATGATGCATCTGGCCCGCGGCCTGACAGTTTGACGCCCCTAATCTAGAGAGTGGTGTCTCCTAACAGGCAGATCAACAACTTTGTACTGACATAACTGCAGTTAACGTGGTAGGACTGCAAAGAACCACAGTCACATATATTACTATCACTGCTTATAGCAATAGACTGATTGATTATATGACAACCAAATTAATGTTGACTATACATGCAGATTTTCTCCAGAATGACCAGTTCCTAATTATGTTCTTCAGGCCTTTCAATGATGCAGCCCTCAGGAATGTGTTTGAGTCAATTCTCCTTGCTGCTGGTCATTCTCTTTGTCTCTTTCCTTCGCCCTTTCCCAGCATTCTCTAGAGAAGTCTATAATAGAGAACTAGACTTCTGGACATTTGCATAATGTGTCCAGCATATATGATAATGTCTTTCATATTAAGTTCAAATCAAGCTACTCTACGAAGTGCTATTGTGAGAAATATTTTTGACTTCTGATCCCTTTGCTATTGATGATTGATCCTAAAAGGCAGAAGCTATCCACCACCTCCACATCTTCATTATAACTTCTAAAACTGGTTGCTATATCTGTTTGTCAAGGTTTGCTCTTAATTTTGGTCCCATTTTCTTCACCATGCTCCTTGATTTTCTTGCATATCATTTGCATTTTTAGCTATCAGAGTTTACTCTTAATTTACTCTTACTTAGTTTACTCTTATGAAATATTTTCTTCTTTTAGTGATGTAGCTCAGGAATAGATTACATGAAGATGTTTAGAATCTATGAACTAACTCTTGGTAAAATTTCAACATAATGTGTTGCAATGTCTAACTAAGATTTTAAAAACAGTTTAATATAAATAAGGTTATCCAAACATACCTGAATTTTTCCGGTCTTTAAAGCAGCAAACATGCATTGGGCTGTATTAAAAGCATGTCTCCAGTTGTGATAAGTAACATTTTTTCGATAATTTTTCCTCACACTTAAAATCCATCTGCAAAGGACCTTTCAAAAATATTATTGTTGAGTTAGAAGTATGATACAAACACCATCATTTTCAGATAAAACCCCAAAGCCAAAATATTAAAACTTCAATAAATTTCACATTTGGCTTTTATACACACTTTGTGGAACTGAGTTATAAAAGTATGTTTTAACTTAGAAAGATGAAATTAAGAAAATAAAATGAAAGCAAGCATTTTATTTCTCAGGTTTATATGGGAGCTGCATAATCTCAAGAACAGACTAATATAAGGAGTTGTGTGTAAGAGGTATGTTTGCATCCCCAATAAGCTGAAGTATCTTGTTACCTTTAAATTTAAAGTGATGAACAACCTTATTGATCAAGTCTGCTGATTCTACAGATTCTAATGCACTGTTTGAAAGCGATAAGAAATTGCTCCTTTATGTACACATTTATCCAAAGATTGAAAAAAGCAAATGTCTAGGAAGTTGTAGGCTGATTAAAGCTTATATTTCCTTACAAGGGCCTAATTGCAGGGAGGCCCAATCTGAAAAAGTGCTTAGATATCAATTGTTAATTTGTTTTTCCACCATATGTTAAAGACGTGACAATGTTTAAAATAGAAAAATGGAAATCCCTCACTGCAATCTGTTCACTAGGCATTTAGAAATATACAATATATTTTGACTTAATTTTATACTGAGGTACTCATTTAAAGCAGGAATTCCTTATCAGGACACAGCTAAACAAGCTGCGCAGAAAATTTGCCTGCTGCAGGAAACAATATTTCTCCTTATATATAAGGTGTTCACACTTGTTCTGGGCAACTGTCAGTAGAAGATAATTCAGATTTCCCCAGATTACAGAATTCTGGAGAATCAAAATTAAAAAAAAATCTCAGGGAGAATTTTTAGATAGAGAAAATTTTCCTTTGTAGATGGTGACAAGGATGTGGCAAATATGGTAAGAATGGTGAGCAAGCACATAGCAAACTCCACTTCCTCTGGAGCTTATATGCACGGAAAATGACAGAAAATGTTTTTCACAGATAAGGCATTTTCCCCATGACTTTATAGATGATTTAAAAAGTACTTTATATCCAGTCATATACATATAACACATACATATATACAAACATGTACACACTAAAGAATATTATATTGGGGAATAATTGGCTGCATATATGGTCATGCCTGTGGCCTTACCTCATGTTTTATTTGGAAATTTTGTACAAGGTTAAGGTCAATAAACATCCGGATTGTGCACAGAGAAGTCTCCATATCTGACAGCTCAAAGTCACTGAAGTAAAAATCAGTGAGCCTGAGAGATTGTGCAGATGGTACAACAGCAGCCTTGAAACAAACAAGAGCAGTAGTGAAAAATGTTGTCTTTCAAGATACTAAATAAATAAACCAAAGCACCATGTGACCCAGATGTAATCTACCAAATGCAATTCATCTAGATTTATTGAAAACATTACTGGATAGGAATCAAATCTATTTTTTTTAACCATTATTCAGTTATTTACCACAGAAGTCCATTTTGGCTTTAGTACAATTTTAGCAGAAGACAAAATGTGATCTCCAAACCAGAGAGTAAAGTATGTGTTGAAAAAAGGAAAATCAATTTAGCTTCATTACTTATAAAATTAGGAATTACTTCTGAACAACCACAGGAGAGAGCTGTTCCTCTCATAACAACTAATACTGGAATAAATGTCTATGGAGATTCTCAGTCATCCAAGTCATGGTTGTCCCAAAATAATTTTTCAAGTCCAGTTGCCTTTTGAAAAAGGACCTTTAGATCAATACCGGAATACTATAATCTGATTTTATGAAAGACTTTTATTCTATATACATTAACTATGTGATTTATACATATATAAAGAGGCTGGATGGGCCTCTTTAGCATATTGCAGAAATGTTAAAATAAACTAAATATATAACAGATATACCATAGTTCACATAAGAAATGTATTCAAAATGCTGTTTTAATGATTTTACCTAACTGAAGATATATTGTATGTTACTATATTTTAAAATATAGCCCTGACTCCCGTATATATTTGTTATCCAGTGAAAATGGGAAATTTTGAATCCAACTTAATGTCAAATGCATTTTAATAGAAATTTGAAGTAGATTTTTCTCATGCAATGGTTTCCTAGTGAACAAAGCTACATCTGCATTTGCCCTGGTTATTAATTTAGAGTGTCCCTCTGGAAATACGTTTCTGCTAGAAAATGTTTATTTTCCAACCCTCACAGTATGTTCCTAGATCAAGAAACCTGAGGAGGGAGGAAAGGAGGGAAGGAAGGAAAGAAGATTTTCTGCCCTTCCGTACATCTACAGAAGACTACTAAATCATTAACAAAATCTGCTTTTTAATCTGTGAGACGGAGTTAAGTGGAAACTTTTAAAAATATAGGAGCAATAAATGAACGTATTTTCTTCTATGGTATAGTTTAACCTGGGAATTCATTGTCATGTAGTTTTAAAAGGAGATAGTTACATTCATAGAAAGACAGACCAAATTGTCAATGAGTTGATGACTGAATATAGGAGCATGCACAAGGGCAGTACTAGCTTGCCTTGAACCTTGAAACCTAGCTCAAATTAATTTTAACAAAGCCACAACTTTAGGATACCTTCATCTTGAATCTTCAAGCCAAAAGCAAGAATAACTTATAACAATTTACTGGATATATTGACATATGTTTTGAAAACATTGTGCCCTCTGCTCCACTGCATCTTCAGCTACTTATGGACCATGGTTAGATATACTGGAGAAAAAAGAAAATGGCATTACCGCTGTTACCTGGAGCTCCCTTGTTTCTTCTTCAGCAGCTGATGCATGGTAGGACAGCACCTTACAGGAAAAGGAACCAAAAGACACTGATCTTTTAGCAACACTTAAATCTATAATACTAAAAATCTAAAGCACTCTATCAATAATGATTCAGTGTAAACCAAAGTAAGGGAATAGTATAAACTGATGATCTTTACAAACTATGATCGATAGACACCTTCACTCCCAAAGGACAACTTTTTCTAGAGTAACTGGCCCATAGCCACACGAGATGTTTTTTTTTAAAGCAGGACTTGAATGAATTTTCCCTGTTTCTAGTCTGGAGACTCTAACCACTTCACTAAACTGGCTCTTCTGTCATCTGTGGTTAATGTTAATTGAATATTTCTTAAGAATGCTTTGAAATGAACATTTGATGTGATTTTACAAATTTTTAGAATTTATTTGATTCAGATGCAGTTTAAGTAATGGTTTAGATAAGTTAGAGAAGGTTAATTCATGCTGGGAGAGAACATTTTGTTCTTAATGATAATTCTTAAATCATTTTTGTTAATTACTAGCATTACTAGCATTAATGCCAGTATTTTGGATGATTCGTTAGTGGCAAGAATTTGGAAATTTAATCATTTTGTATATATTATGTTGATTGATAATGAAACTGTAAAATTAACTTTAAATACATAGTAGTGAAGCAGTAAATGCTTAAATATTTCTTTACTAAATTAAAATAAATGTTCTGCTTGGAGTTTTTTTATATTAATTCTAGATGGAGAACAGTATGATCATATTATTGGACACTGCTAGTATACAGGACTCCTGAGGTCAGCCACAGGGGGGGGGGAGGTACAACATTGCTTTAAATGAGCAAAGAATTTGCAAAGGACTCTTTTTCTTTTATGAAAAACAGCTGAAAATTTTCCATGTACCTATATGAATGACAAATAGCCGACAACATAGCTATAATTATAATCCTAACAAAGTTGTCATAATAAATTAGCTTTTTCCAAGGGTCCATAAGACAAGCATAAAAGAAATTCTGTCTTAGGAAAATTTTGGCAGAAGTTTTGCCTGTGTAAGAAAAAATATTTTTAATTTACTGAACAAAATGAGAATTATTTAGAGCTGTGAGTGAAGGAGAGAAGATTTTTATTTTTTGAGTTGGATTTGTGTTTAACTGGCATTTCATGAAGCTGAAATTATAACTTTAATCTATAGCACGTTTTTTCATAAGGGTATATTTTCCCTTAAATGTTAAACTACCTGAATTAGTAGAGTGCAATACACTCAAGACTGTGTTAAGTAATTTTCACACACTTTTGCGAAGGAATGCTACAATTCAATGCAATCAGAACAACTAAATATAGTTGTACATGTAAGTTTTCCCTTCAGAAACAATTACAGAATCTGAATTTTAGAAATATTGTATTTCATTTACTATGTTGATGCAAGGAAAGCCAATGTCTAGATTATCTGATTTCTCAGATTATTTTGGAGGATGTTAAGAGCACATCAGGATCTCCTAGCTTCTCATTCATAGCATGTGCATTATAATTAATGGAAATTAAAAGGCTAGGCAAGATGACAGCAATACCTGATATGGTTTGATGAAATACTATAGAGGAATTCTACAGTGACCTTGCTATTATCCCAGATATGACTTGTTTGAAGGGCTGGATGAAAATCATAGGAAACCACAGACAGGAAAGAGAAGATGTCCCAGTGACACAATCATATCTTTTTTAATGCAAGAAGACAAATCACCTACAATGGTCACACTTGCCAATATGCAATATGTTTAGGAAAGGTAGTAGTTGGGTTCGCTGCTGAATCCCATGAGAGTGATAATCCACCAGTGCTGTGCAAGCACATGGAAATATAGAAGCATAGAGTCAGTTGGTAGCGAACAACATTGGGCTTGCTTTAAAGTCAGCAAGAATTCCAATAAAGAAACAGTACATAAAGACTGCCTTGATTTATTCTTACCTCTAATGTCACCATTTGCTTTGCCATGGCTCTTTCCACAGCTTCATACATCTGGGTGTTCTGTATTCCTAAGCCACAGAAGATAACAAAAGCTTCCAAAAACTGTTCATCATTTCTATTGAAAGCTTTTATTTTGCCTGAGTTTTCTTCCATCTTGTTTGCAAGTTGACAAACCCCTGGGTCATAATAAAAAAGAATATAACCAAATGATACCCTTGAAAAAGTACATAATTGATTAGAATTAATTACACATTTAACTGAAAGAAGCTATGCTTGACAGGGTAGCATGGAGAATCTTTGCCTATAAAGTCACCAAGAGCTGGACACGACTGAATGGTTAAAACAGTATCACACATTTACTGTATATTAAAATTTTATTTTTTCTTCAGAAAGAATAATTAGAAATCTATCATTTAAACTTTTAAGTGGTCCAGGGATTCAAACAAAAATTACACATTGTGCCACAACATTTTTAAGAAAATTAATTCAGGCTTTGTGGAAACAGAAGTTTAGTTTTGAATCTTCATGTATTGGTTTACATACTTCAAAAAATTTAACTAGCTTCATTTGAGTCAGTGGTGCTTACTTCTCCTTATATAGGCTGCTGAAAACAAAACATCAAACGGAACATTATAATATCCCAAGTCTTAATTTCCTTCTTCATTTTTACTATTAATAGACCTTTAGTTTGATGAAATCCCTAAAGACAATTTTTCCTTTACAAACTCATTAAATGTTTATAAGCATGCCAAAATGCTGTAATGAATATGAGATTAGCACACCCAGGGCTTGTATATTCTTATTTGAATATTGCAAATTATGTGCATATTAGTCTGCATTTTAACTACAGAGAAAATATCACTAGTTTATTAACTGACTGATTATCTGCTAAATTCAAGTAGGTGTCTTGGCATCATTCACTGTAAGTGCTTAATGTAGCACTTCACTTAGGAATCTACTTTGGAAACTCTATTATCTGGATGTACAACAGATCTATAGAATCATAGCTTAACTAAGAATTTATTCATAATGAACTCATCACAGATCATTGCCACCTTTCAGTTTAAGTCTGTTTAAAAATATTTTGTTAAGAAAGTGGCTGAAACTGTCCATATCATTAGTGAGTCACCGATAATCCAAAAGACACTGCTAATGTAAGTACAGGTACACATTCATGAAAGTCATAGTTATAAGCATCCCATAGAAGCAAACCAAATGGCAAAATACAAATGGGAAAACTGCTATTGAAATTAGAAGTTTTAATAATTAATAATTAAAATATCAAGTGCTTTCTTGTTTATTTAATACTATGCTTTTCCTTCAATAACTCCAAGGTGCTTATATGAGATCTTGTTTCCCTTTATCCCACAACAAACCTTTTACAGCTGGACTGTAAAAGAATAACTGATCCAAAGTCATCCAGTGATTTTTGATGAGTGATATTGGAACTGAATCTGGGTAGCCTCAATCCTAGTCCAACACTTGAATTACTTCACTGGCATTTGATGTAGCTCAAAGATGCTGAGAGGATCACCAACTGACATTTATGCTAATTTAATTTTATTCATGCTAATTTTATATGCATGCTAATTTTTATATTTTTTCGAAAATTACTTATTAAATATTTATATTTATATGATTGTCTAACTCAAACAATGTGACTCTGTGGAATGTACAAAATCGTTATACAAAAATACAAAAGAAAAACCATAAAATGAGTTGTATTCTACCAAAGGGGAGCTTTGCTCACCCAAGCATCTAAGCCAGGGGTCTTCAAACTTGGCCCTTTAATGATTTGTGGACTTCAACTCCCAGAATTCCTCAGCCAGCATGCCTGGCTGAGAAATTCTGGGAGTTGAAGTCCACAAGTCATAAAAGGGCCAAGTTTGAAGACCCCTGATCTAAGCCTTAAGTGCCTGAATAAAGACCTGAGGGGTCAGGGTGATAAAGACCAGCTATCTAGCACTGCTTGAGTGTTTCTCAGAAACAGCTGGGTAAAGATTGCTACTGCAGATCTGCAGCTTAATATCTGTAAAACAGCAGAAGGCAGATGAAGGCAGTGCTAATTTTGCTTAAAAATGACAATGCTTCACTACAATACACTGATTAACAACATTAAAAGAAGTACATTTTATCCTAATATGCCTTTCATTTGCATAAGAAAATTTCTTAAAGAAGAACTTTTTTGCATTTTATGTCAGCACATAATATGGGACAAGTGAAACAAAAGTCCAAACAAGTTTTCTTGCTGAAAAATAAAACTGGATTGATCTTATTTATAATAGTAGTCTATGATCTTTTAAGTTCTAGAATAGTGTTAGTAACTATGTTCCGTCTGCTCAGGATTCGGTGAGTCCAACTTTATTGTTAGGTTGGAGGATAGTGCTCCAAGTCACAGTCCACACAATTCTAAATTTCAGAAACTACAGCTCAGATGGTACTGTACTGAGCCAAGATCATCAGCTAATTTTAGGTGCTCCACTTTGCAAAAAGTGAAGTGTTTTTTTCCTATAGTAAAACTACTATTCTTTGTTTCATAATTCTATCCAGGATATTCTTCTGTAGCCCCCAATTCCTTAATCCAAAGCATCTTATTTGGAAGGATACTTTTATATTTATTCACTTGTTTTCCAAAAATATATATTTTAAGTCAGTGTACAAAATTTGTCCTTATGACACAATGTTAAATTCGTTTGTTTTTATGACATGTGGCTATGTCTAAGGATAGGTTATTAGTGAAGAATGATCTTAGAAATTTCACACATTGCTTTTTTTTTCAATTTCCAATGGGAACCAAATACCATCTATGTGCATAAACTGAAGCATAATTGAAAACTCCAAAATGTTATACCTATCACTTTATTCTTCTTTCCATTTTTTATAGGCGTGCAGAGCAAGCTTTCAATGTGCTGATTTGTACTGTCTGAACATTCATTCTGTTAAGAAAAAAATAAAACATAATACTTTATTAACTACATAAGAGAGCTTAGTATAGCAGTTATAGAACTGACCTAAAAATCAAGAGACTGTGAATTCTAGTATTCCCTTGGACTAAGCCCAATCAAAATATAGCTTGGGTTGATTACAAGGAGGCATTCAACTTCCTGCCACATGATTGGATAATCAAGTGCCTACAAATAACAATATTCAGTAGAAACATCAGAAGCTTTGTGCAAAGATCAACATCACACTACTGGTCAATGGTAATACACTGGGAGAGGTAAATATTAATAGATGAATCTTTCAAGTAGTCTCACTATCACCACTACTGTGTGTCATTGCATGATTCCTCTGTCAACAATACTGAACAATTTAGACCAGTGGTTCTCAACCTGTGGGTCGGGACCCCATTTGGGGTCAAACGACCATTTCACTGGGGTCGCCAAACAACGCAGTCTGCCATTTTTTCCCCCTTTTCCTTAGCTGTGCTACTCCCTTTTATTCTATTGGCTTTTGAAAGCCAATAGAATAGACTCTCTTGAATAGAGTCTAATTCTATTGGCTTTCAAAAGCCAATAGGAATTGTCCAGGCTGTCTCTGCCCTGCTGAGCCCGCCAAAAGTCCCATTCTGCAAACGGTGCTGCCCCAGTTGAGTAGTCCTCGACTTACCACCGGTTGGGGGTCGCAGCATTAGAAAGGTTGAGAACCACTGATTTAGACCATGATTATCAAATACCAAAAACATCTACCAGGTTATCCTATTCCCTTTATATGAATGATCTGAAGCTATATGGAAAAAAGGTGACTCGGAATATCCATAGATATATATATAGAAAAAGATAATCTGAAATAGAATTGTTGCTCAATACTGTTCATGTATACAGTATAGCCAAGATATTGCAATGGAGTTGGGACAGGAAATGTGCCACCCTTACTGTTAATAGGAAAAAATAATGAACACTGAAGGAATCAAAATGTCCTATGGAAATAACATAAGAGTCTGTATGAAATAGTTTACTACAAATACATGGACATCCTTCAAACAACATCAAGCACACTGAAGTCAAAAAGATTAGAAATGAATACATTATGACAATGAAGAAGCTCTGAAAGTTCAAACTCAGTGGAGGAAATACCATCAAGGCAATTAACACCTAGGCAATTCCAGTAATAAGATATACAGCTGACATAGTGGACTAGACTCAAGCAGACCTAAAAGCCCTGTATAGGAAGACCATAAAATCAGAAAATACAATGACCTGAAAACAGAAATAGAGGGACTGTGGCAAAAGAAAAAAAAGGTAGTACCAATTATCATCGCTGTCTTGGATGCAATTCCAAAACATCTGGAATATCACTTGAATGCCATCAGGATTGAAACAAATACCATCAATCAATTGTAAAAGACTGCTTTACTTGGAACAAATTATATCTTGCAACAATAGCTTTAACACCATCAAACAACAATATCTGAAAGGACTTAATAGGTGGGTAAAAATACCATATTCAGTCTAACAATCTGGCTGACTATGCTACCAACCATAATAATAATAATGCATCCTGTGACGATATCTGTAACAACATGAAACAACCTCTAATCAAGATCCTTGGGAAGAAGTCGATAGAGGTGAATAAAAATGCCAAATCCAGTCTATTTGGTTGACTGAGCCACCAACTATAATTATTAATGTTAAGTGGTGTGTGCTTCAAGTCACTCTTAACTCTTGGCACTTGCCTGGATAAATCAGTAGAATTTTTTTCAACAAGATTTTTGCTGTGCTTAACCACTGCATTCTTCCCAGGGATGAGAGAAACTTGCCCAAAGTTACTCACGTGGCTTAAGGCAGGACTAGAACTCCCACTCTCCTAGGTTCCAGCCTGGTGCCTTTAACCCTTACATCAAACTAGTTCTCAAATATAAATATAAAATATATACAAGTTTTGAATTGGTTTTGAACTTTTACAGTTTTTTTAATAATCTGAGTTTTAAGTTTTTATATTTGTAGGACATAATCACAACAGAATGGATAGATCATATATAGAATGTGACCAATGGAACTTATTGGTCATGCTAACGTAAATCACAACAATCACACAAATTTTGATAGTTGTTGCTCAGAAATAGATCAGGGGTCCCCAATCCCCAGTTCGTGGACCGGTATCGGTCCGCAGCATGCCAGCAACAGGTCCAGACAAACAAGCAAAGCCCCATCCATGGGATGCAGGCAGCACACAAAACCACGCCCCCTCCAGTCCGCAGAAAAATGTCTCTCCAGGTAATCAGTGCCTGGTGCTCAAAAGATTGGGGACCTCTGCTCTAGATGAAACCAAATATTCCAACCCAATGTTCACTTATATGTATTCTTTGCTAATATTCCCTTTACAGTTTGTTATTTCTCCAATAAGCTCATAATAGTTGTTTAATAAACATTTTAATGTTGACAAAATTATATGATTTTCCATGTTGCATTGCCTATCAGAAGTCCTTCAAACAATCTTGATAAGCTCTGTATCTCTCCCTTTCTCTTGTGTAGACATATACACAGACTAGATGTATATTTTCTAACACAATAATAAATATATCAACAATAATATATAAAATATATTTTGGTCTTTACTATAAAGGTGGATCTGAATTGATTGTGACATTAAAAATAAATACATGTGAAATATCAGTATCACATGTTAAGTTTCAGTTCAGAAGATTTATTACTTAAGTTCATACATAAAAATATGGTTACTAAATGGAAAACCCTTTCTCTATTTGCTGACAGACTATCAAATGGTGGGAATAATGGTCCAAGGAGGGTGGATAATAACAGCAATGGTCCAAGCAGGTTGAAAAGAAGCCTTCCAAGAAAGCAGCCACAGCTAGACACTAGCTGTTCATGTTATAATATTCCATACATTTTATGTCAAAATACACTTGCAACAACAAAAGCAATAACTAACAAAACCAATTAATCTAATTAACATATAAGATGCAATAAGGCATTGCTATTGAATGATACTGACATTGGAAACAATTAGTTCAACGTACTGAATATTTGCATGCCAGGTTGTTCTAAGCTCACTAGACAGTACTGGCTGTGTTAGTAAAGTCAACAGGCCACTCCTCTTCAGCCAAGGTGGAAATAGGTCAAACAAATAGCAGGATCCTTATTAAGAAGTAGGGAAAGAAGAACTAGCACACCAGCCGAAGGCCCTCCACTGATACAGTAAGAGATGGAAAAGCAGGCCCAAAAAGGCAGTGCAGTTCCATAAAACTCAATGGAGATTGAGGCAGATGCTAAAGCACAGCATGAGTACATCTATTTACATTTTATAAGCTTTTTAATAGAAACAATTGCTGGAAAAGGTAGTTACATCAAACCATATGTCCAGTCAATTTTTGTATGTTGGCTCATGTTACTTACTGTCCAAGGAAATCTTTTATCTTGGCACACTTGTGGAATATTAAGAGGCTCCATAGTATTCTTGACATACTGGGCATACATATAATTAATTTGGTCTGAATCATTGTTTCTGTTGAGATAGAAAAAGAAATGGACTCAGTTAACTGCATTAATTATCTACTCTTAGAAACACATTGTAATGGTCAATTAAGCATATGAAAAGCATGTTGTATCAATGGCTGATATTCCAAATAGTGTTACATAGATCTTATGAATGCTCTGGATACAGCTAACATGCTTGAAGTCTTGGATTTTAGTAGCTATGATGCTTAATCCAGTAATTTTCCATTCTGTAGTTTAAGTAAGTTGTCTTTGGGAAGTAGCCATGATAAACTTCAACATAATTTTTATTTTTAAGAAATACCCCACATCCTATGGGGAAGATATATATACACCTACCTCTAATCAGTCTTTAGCCTGATCCTGAGATCTGGAAGACTTATGCTACATCTAACTTTTGAGGTGCCTTCCATAAATTTAATAAAAACAACAACATTTTACATTTTAAAAAGGTCATTCCAGAGCCAGGAATGATCCAAATATATTACATACAAGGAAAAGTTATTAACAGGGCTTCTTTTCTCATAGAACGCCCAGAATGGAGTTCCAGCACCTTTTTTGGATGGAACCTTGTAGGGTAGGCAAGGTGGGTTGTATGAAGTGTGTGAATTCCGGCACCATTTTTTTTTTGTTTTACAAAAAAAGCACTAGTTATTAATGTACTGAATCAATGTTTAGAGGCCTTATTGAAAAGTCTAAAAGCAAGTACAGAGCTTAGATATCTAATTCCTTAACTGTCTTCTCCAAGATTTTAAGAACAAAATAGTTTTTGCAATGCCCTCACCAAAATCCTGAAATATAATTTCTGAATAACTAACTTGGTATTCTTCTTAATAGCCTTGTTGATTGTACAAATATTTCATTTAAAAAAACAAAACCATTTGCTCTAAAGAAAATACCAAATTCATTTTAACCCCATATCTTAGCAGTTTCATTGTTGGTTTAGTACTATTTACAACCACAATTGAGCCCAAAATTTCCATAGCTAAACAAGACAGTTAAGTCAATTGCGCTTCATTTTACAACTTTTTACCACAGTGGTTAAAAGAATCCCTGCATTTGTTAAGTGAATCATGCAATTGGCTTCCCCCATTGACTTTACTTGTAGGAAACCAGTTGGGAAGGTTACACATGGTGATCACATGATACTGGGACAGTGCAAAGGTCATGAATATATGCCAGTTGCGAAGTGTCCGAATTTTGATCATGTGACCATAAGGATGCTGCAATGATGGTAAGTGTGAAAATTGGTCACAAATCACTTTTCTCAGTGCCATTGTAATTTTGAATGCTCACTAAACAAATGGCTGCAAGTCAAAATACTGTACTCAAAATACTTTTGCCCCGGCCTGATAATCTTCCATTTAAAATTCATGCTCTTCACTGGGCAGATCACAAGAGCATTTTGAAGACTCGAGATTCCAAAGCTTTTTTTTTACTGTCATGGAGATATAGCTAAAAATAAACAATTTCAAAGCATCTCTCTGCAATGACTAATGTTTCATAAATCTGCTATTATTAACTCTTTTCTATTTGAATCATCCTATCCTTTTGTTTGTTTGCTATATAAAAAGGCTTTTTATAAGGCGTATGAGCCATTATATTAAACAAAATATTGGTCTGTATAGTTCTGTTTTAAGAAAGAGTAATTTGCAGGCTTCCTTGAAATAAGAATTCATAGTTTACTCAGGTTGTAAATTTGCAACTAGGCTGGTTGACATTTTAGTCTTAAACACATTTAATTTATACCTCATTTCATTCTGATGAAACACAATCAATAAAATTGCATTAGTTAGTAATTTATTCAACCAACAAAACTAAAACTAAACCAATTTAAATAATTGGTTAAGGATGCTGCAGAGTTAAGTAATAAAAATGGAGAAGATGAATGGATTTCTTGGATGTACAGATCTGATCCACAGAAGAGATAAAAGGGCAATGCCCTTTGAATGAGTTTGCATGACATGGTGGTTAACATAGTAGGCTAAGACTGGGAAACTAAGGTACAAGCTGCCTGCATGACTTTGGACCACTCACTATTTCTCTACTCAACCTCTCCCAAACTTTAGCTTTGAGGAAGGAATAGCACATACATCATCTTGAATTCCTGGAGAAAAGGCAAGTTATTTCTTTAATATATTTTTATTTGTTTATTATAGTTTTAGAAATACTCACAGCAAGGAATTTAATAAATTGATGAATAACTGAAGCTCAGATATCAGAAGCCCTAGCAAGTGGGTGAGCAACACAGCATTCATACAGTGGATACCAGGGCACCTATAATGCCACTAGGTGGCAGCCACTGATCTCCAGGATGAAGGAAAAAAGAAAAAAACACACTGGGAAGTTGCCTTCTAAGCTAAACTTCATCAAATTCAGAGCACTTTCCAATAACAGAAAGTTTACTGGCAAAAGAATGCTCTCTGCAGAATTAATGGCAGGCTTTCCACATTTCTAAATGTGAATTTTATGTTGGAGGATTAGTCAGCTCATATAAGAAATAGTTATAAATTGGGGCCACCCACAAATTGTTGGTATAAAGTGATACATTGTTCCAAAAAAGAAGAAAAAGATGTATATGCCACATCTCCAACTCTTCTATCTGTTAAGGCTGATCAAAATGAACACCGCCTCCTTTGCAAGCCTCACTGAAACTAATGTAATGTCTGAGCTAGCTATCCTTTTAAATGGGGTCATGCTGTGGTCATGTTTCTGATTGCTGAAAACTGATGGTTTTCACTATTAAGGAAAGGTGTGAAGCCATAAAAATCTCTTGAATCTAGTTCTTTTACCTTTTGTGGGTCTCACTGGAATCTTCTATTTCTTCATATTCCATGTGAAAGACACTGGAAAATGAATCCTAAATAGGAGAACAGAGTTTGGGCTTTGTTAAAATGTATAGTAAAATTGTTTGTATTGTAAAAGAGCATAATTTATTTATTTCCCGCCTAGTGAAAAATGATCAATGATTTACTGTATTTCATAAAGCATTTTAAGACCCATGATAAACAAAACTGACATATTACAATGGTTATACCATTTTTTCTAATTTATACAATATATCAGGCTCAATTTAATTTACTACATAATGAGCTTCACCTTGTATGTTGAATATGATGTTGATTCATACACTATCTTTTTTTAAATAGGGTATTTATCATCACTATCAATTTTAAAAAATGGTGCAATTCCAAAAATGTTTTTTTCCCATAGCTGCCATACAAGAGACAGCTCTTTTCCATGAATCAGAATAACAAACCTAGGAAATGACCATATCTTCAATAGAGCTTCTCTGATTGATTTTGATTAAGCAGGATCATGTTAACATTAGCAGTCTCTAACAACCAAGCCCAAATCTGTTAGGTCAGTGCAACACCTTAAATTGTGCCCCTAAAAAATTTGCAATTACTGCTGGCTTTCAGCATGGACATCATGTTTTTAATATAATAATGTTGTTGGCAGCCTAATTTCATATCAAGCTTCTGAATACTATCTAAGGGTATTCACCATGTAGTAGTCATGTTAGGATTTAACTAAGGCTTAAATAACTGTTGACTAATCTATCTGTAATTGTGCAGATACGCAATTACTGAGAATTTGCCAGTTGAGAAGACAGTCAAGGTCCATACTTACTGAACAGTCTTCATCCACTATGAAAATGGTGCACTTTTGCACTTGCATGAAGGAAATTATAGTGGCAGCTATCTTCTTCAAAATGACTTCTAATGATTGCTGCTCCTCAAATATTAAACTGGCAAGATCAAGAAGTACCTATAACAGAATTAAAACAGTTTTAATCAACTGAAAGGCAGATTCCCCCCCCCAGTAATTTCAGGGGTTCCTTTCAAAGAAAACCGTATAATTGCATTAATGTAAAGAAATAATGAATCACTCCTTGCAAGTTGAACAGAATGAACTTTACAAGTTCTCTGCCCACATATTGACAACAGTTTTACATTTTCATTTTTTTCCAGAACTGTGTACATTTTGACTTTACAGAGCATCTACAGTCTCCTTCCTACAAAATCTATAAACCAATTTCTCCAGGAACAGGCCCTTACATTCCTATAGACAATTTGTGTTTTACTACAGTATTATTTGGCACAAAAAAGGGATTATTCCAGTAGACATTATTTACTGTTACCAAAAGCTATTCGCTAGTTTATTAGATTGATAAATCTTCTTTCGCCCAGGAACTCGAGGCAGCCTATGTAAAAAAACAAACAAACTCAGTTTTACTCCCACAATAACAATTTTGTGCAATATGTTGGGCTGAAAGAATAAGCTTTAACTGGGCAAAACAGTTCATTATAGAGCAAAATATTTTGAACCTAGATACCTCAAATGAACTAAATTAAAAACTGCTTCAAAATCTGGGACCCATAACTTCCACAGAATTGAAATTTGGCAAATTTTATAAAATCATTTATGACATTGAAATTATCATAAATTATTTTATGATACCACATAAAATGGCATAAAGCATTTCCTATGGTCAATTCTTGATGTTTGACCATGATGTACAATTCTACATGGGCTACTTTCAAGGCAAATACCTCTCTAATCTCCCTCACTTTTTAAGACTATTTTACTGTATCAGCTATTGTTAAAAGCATTGAGAAATTTGGTAAGGAAATATCTCTGAAAAAACAACCCAAGGAGTCACAAATTTTCTAATTATCCATATGATGTTAGGATTCTGAACAACTATAAATATTTACCAGATATTATTAGGAAGAGGAGAGGAGGAGAAAAAGGATGCTAAAATAATTAGATTGACATTAGATTTATATTCTGAATTTCTACCAAAGAAAAATAGCATTCAGTTTATAATGTTAAACAGAACAGAACATCTTCATTATGGTCACTAACTAGAAAAATATACAGTTATACAGTAGAATTTACATAATACAAGTAGAAATCTATTAAAAAATGTAATTAACATGGGAAGAAACAAAAATACTGCTAAAAGTTTAAATACTAATAGCTACATTTTAAGATATACACAAAGGCATAAAAACACTCTCCGTTATAAAACAAGCTACTATAATGTTTTAGATAACAATTCCCAAATTACTTTCTTTATTTTTAGTCAGGTTGGATAACTATCTTGTTTGCTCCCTAATAATACAGTCTCTGAAACAGAATTTGCAACTTCAAAGTGATTGAGAAGAAATGAAATACTGAATTTATTTCATCTTTTAGGAACCTTATTTGAAATGAGTTAAATATACATAGTACATTCACAATAAAACCAGCAGCATAACAACCTGTTCTTTTGTTTAACAGACAACGCATCTCTGTAAAGGGAATAAATTAGGAATGTCATTCCTGTAAAGTTGAAGGTAGTATATTACAGCATACTATGATAAAGGTTCTATGATATTTTACAGAAGCAAGATTATTTAGCTGCCTCAAAAAGTTTACTTAAGATCCCCCCAAGGGAAAGGTTCAGCATTATCACTCTACAAATCAGTATATATTATCTGCTATATGACTATTTATTTAGCTTTGGCAAAAACCAAAGAATGCAAGCCTGGAAAAGATAGGACAATATTTTGTAATTTCACCTCCTAGGTCTTCTTCCAACTTGAGTAAATCTAATAACAATCTAATAATGACAGTGGAACTAAACCATGATGGAAATTTTTAAGTTACTAAGTGATCTTTCTTAACCAAATTAATTCTTCTCTGGAACTAGACCTGCCTCCAACCAAAGGGATACTGATGGATTCCAACAATAGCCTTCCAGAATATTTTTAATAGTAATTTTATTAAAAATTACAACTGCAAAAATAAAAACTAATGCCTACTAACAGGAAAAATAGAAATATATAAAGAAACATCTTCCCTCTTCATCAGAATAAACTATAAACAATTTTAATAACTTATTACCTTCTCTTAAAATATATCAAATGATCTCTTCTTCCCATATCCCCTCTCTTATCTATAAACAAATCCTTAAAGTCTTGTCATTTCAGCCATGACATCACAAAAGTCCATTAAGGGTTACTAGAAACATCATATCTATTTTAACCGTCTTCAAATTTTATTCCTAATAATCTTGATCTTTAGTAACTTCAAACACTGTCCTAGAACAGTGGTGGTGAACCTATGGCATGTGTGCCAAAGGCGGCACTCAGAGCCCTCTCTGTGGGCACGCATGCCATGCCCCGGAGATGGCAACTGTCCCTCTTCAACCAGCTGCCCGCTAATTCACCGAAGTCCCATGTGGCTGGATACATCCCAGCATGGCTGGTTTCCCTTTCCCCCCGTCCCATCCCTCCTGGCCTTGCATGTTCTCCTTTTCCCAGGCATGACCCACTGCATCGCCTCCTCAGCTGTCGGCTGGCCATCCAGCTCAGAGGCGGCTTCTCTGAACTGCTGGTGATGGGCTGCAGAGCCCCAGAGTGCGTCGGTTGAGGGGCTGGCAGGCTGTGGCTGACAGACACTGTCGACCCCCATGCGCTCATTGGCCTTTGTGTATGAGGGCTGATGGTGTCAGGAGCGGACGCCCCGGCCCCTGCCTTATCTTGCCCTATGACAATGGCACCCCCGCCGTGCCTCACCTTGCCTCACTTCACCCCGCAGGACAAGCCTCCTCCCCACCGCCCCATCTGCCAGAGACCTCCTGGATCTCACCCAACCCTGCCCGGCCCCCACAAGCATCCCTCCCCATGAGCAACATCAAGGTGACCACGCCTACCTTGGCTACACCCACGCAGTCTGCCATGACCACCACAGCTACACCCACCCAGTGGGCCACACCCACATGGCACCCGGCGATACATAAGTGGGTTTTGGATTGCAGTTTGGGCACTCGATCTCTAAAAGGTTCGCCACCATTGTCCTAGAACTTGATTTCTTTTCATTTTTCTTTCTGTTCTCACAAAATTCTTCAAAACTTTTATTAGCCTGTTTTGTAACCCCAATTTAGGAAAATTATCCAGTCATTCTTTTAGTTTATTTATACATCCCTTTTAATTATTAAGACCTTAGTGGGTTTGGGTTTGGGTTTTGTTTTTTTGTATATTTAGTGCAACACCTTTTTCCATGTCATTCTTGTAGTCTGTCATGCTTAAATTCACTTTCAAATTAGTCTCAATGATGCCGGATAAAACTTGCTTCTGTTCCATAGTGTCTTTTAAAGACAGTCTATCTATTTTGTATTCTGTTTTTGTAACTTGTGTTTGAGGGTTCTTTTCCTTTAATTATAATCTTCAGTTCCTACTAGTTCCCACTTTTTAAAGTCCTATCTTATATGATTGTTTTAAAGAACTCAAAACAAAAGCATTTTCCCATGGGAAAGATTCCAAAATCTTATTTCATTTTTCTGGATCCTTATTCCATTTATAGCTTTCAAAATTCAAAGTTATAACCACCCTCTTACTGTTCAACCCCCCCATTTTTAAATCATTAAATATGTACTAAAACTACTTCCAGTAAGGATTGAAGGTTACTGACCCAGAACTGTAAAACACGTCAATCCAAAGGTTTCTAATAGCCGAAGAGCAATTAACAAGCAATTTCTGAAAGTGATGAGAAAAGGAAGTATGCAACTAATACTGGAAAATGTAATGCTTAATATAAAGTCACTTGAATTCGTAAGTGCAGAAAACAAAAAGCCTCATTTGTCTGTCTTATGAAACAGAATATTTGATTGATTTTGATTAAATCAAATACATTCTTTACTAAATATATTCATAACCTACTGGGGATTATGTCTAAGGATGTTTGACTCATTGAGTCAATGCGTATTTATCTCTCTGAAAATGCCTGAACTGTGGCAGGAATGGATAAAACAATTTTTGTAGAATCATTCTCATGTTTTTAATGAGAAACAGGAGATACTGTTTGAGAAAACAAAGTAACACAGAATTATGGATCTGGTTGAGATTTTAGCTTGGTATGTTGATAATTTTTGCAAGCAACTTTAAAATCCTGGGAAAGTCTGGGAGCCCTATCCACCCATTTGATTCCTACCAATGTTTTTGCATACTGGTAAGGGCAGGCCAAGATACTTCCCTCTGTAAACAGTGGTAGAACATAAGCAATCCTTTAACAAAGTACATAGGTAGATGTCACACCTTCAAAGCATACTGAAAGAACAGTTCTGCCCTACCAGTTATAGTAAACACCCTATTTATACATATTGGGGAGCCTCAGTGTCTGAACAAACTTACTGAACAGGAAGGAATAGGATTTATTCCACCTCAAACTCACTCCAGAATATGGAACATATGACTACGGAGAAAGAGTTGTTCTGACTGTATCTTCATTTTTGTATTCTTTTAAGCATCTGACCTATCCCAAGAAGAATACATAAACAGAAGCAATATACTGTATTCCAAATTGCTTCCCACTTTTACTTTTCCACATTGAATCACATGGGAAAAGTGCATTTTCTCAGAATACAGTAGTTCTGTTATGAATCCAATCTTTCTGTTCAAAGAATTGAGAGGGCACAGTCCCTAACTGCAAGGTTAATGGAGAAAGTTGATCTCAGACTGGTGGATGATAGTGGATCAAGATGCTTCTCATGTTCTGGTTGTAATAAGGATTTCAGAATACAGTTAGTCCTTGATTTACAACCACAACTGAGCCCATAATTTTGGTAGTAAGTTGTTGCAGTCATAAACTGAATCATCACGTGACCAAACTTGATTTTACAATCAATTTTATGATATTCATTTAGTGAAACACATAGTAGTAAATCTGAATCCAGTTTATCCAATGGGTGTTTGTTTGCCTTTTTTTGTGGAAAACAGCAAAGAATTTCACAAAATACAATCATCCAACTGTGGATGTTGTAACCTGTCATAAATGCTAACTGATTGCCAAGTGCCTGAAATGCATTCATGTGACCCTGGGGGTAGTGAGCCAGTTGTAATTTTTAGGATGGGTCATAAGTAACTTTTTTTTAGTCCACTGTAAGTTTGAAGAAACATTAAACAACTGTAAGTTGTAAGTTAAGAATTACCTGTAACTAGAAGAGGTACAGATGTTCCAGCCTGTGAGCCAGATACAAACAGCAGAACTCTCCAGCCAATTGGTGCCTCACCACAGCAATTACGTTTGGAAACAGGTATTTCCAATGAAGTCCAGCATAAAGGTAGTCTATATTGGGATTTTGGTGTGGATTGCAACCAATAAGGGAAGAATTAAACTTCCCTCCTCAATGTCATTCTCTGTCATGCTACAAGGTATACTGACACATTGACATATTTTGTTCTCAGGAATTGTTAGGCCTATGTATGAATCCCTTGATGAAAGTAGGATGAAATTATGTCATCTTCTTCTGTGAATAATGATGTTCAATCTTGGTAGCTGATAACATAAAGGTTTAATTGGAGTTTACAGCAGGGGTGGGCAATTCATTTTCCCAAGGGGCCACATGAGAAATTGGGACTGTTGTGGAGGAAATGCTTACAGTGTGTAGAGCACTAGGATGCTTATCTGCCCTACTAGGTTAAACTTCTAGGTTTCTGTCATCTCCTTCTCTAATATGCCCAACCTCCTCTTCCGTATCCCCAGTCATTTTTCAAGGTTAGATCTCAATGCAGGAGGATGGCAATGCATACTGCCAATGTCTCCTATTCCTTTAAGACCAGTTACCAATTATGACACCATGTACACTCAAATATCGTATCTATTGGCTATGCCTGATGCACATGAAAAAACATGAAATAAGTGTTTTTAATACTGTATATCCCTTATACACACCATACCCATAAATATGACATCTTTCACTCACCTGATTGCGTCTGTTTTCAAGAAGCGAAGTCTCATAGAGCTGAGCATTGTGAAGAACAATTCCACAAAATGCCAGGTAAGCAGCAAAATCCTGTAAATTGGACATCAAAAGTTATATATAGCACCTATATTATTTAATTACACTTGAGACTTTAGAAGCTTGTTATTTCCAATTCCAAAGAACTTTATTTTATTAGCAAAGAGTGCTGTTTATATCTGTCTTAAAATACCAATATTACATGCAACAAGATTCTTAGTGGTAAAGAGTTGTGGTGAATTTTGCAAACACAAAAACAGATGCAGACAATGCCCAGTCTTATGTGAAATATTAAATGTAGGCTTCTATTTTTAAAAGCAAGAACTGAATCTTGTTAAGACTATGAGCCATTTTTGTTTATGTTTTAATTTTGATGTCTCACAGATGCTCATCACAAATTCCATTTAGAAAAGATAAATTCTTCTTTTGTTCCTACCAGAATTATCTGCATTTCAGATGGCATATTTGTTAATAAAAATAAAATTGTAAAATATACCTTCTCATCTTGCTCAGTGAATGTTCCTCCACCACCAGATTTTTTGTTGATTGCTTGTGCCACACCAACCACCTGATTAAAAGTCCATATAAGAATATAGTTTATTCAATCAGATTTCAGATGAAAAACATAAGGAAATCAATAGTCACCTGAGATGTCCAAGCCTTGTTACCAAGTTTACTATTGTTTTTGATACATAAGTATGAATTTTTTTAAAAAAAAACCAATGAAACAGTAGTATCCTTATTTTTAAAACTTACAGTGACTCTCTTATCCACATATATTTAAGAATAAGCATTACTAAACTCACAATTGCTTATTTTTTCAGAAACCCAATGAATCCCTAAGGCCAATCTAGTCTTACTTCAGGGTAAATTCCATGGTCTTGGTTTGTTATGAGCTCTTCCAAAAGCATTGAATCTGGTACTTACTTTCTCTAATTTGCTTTGAATAGATTGGAACCAAATGAAACAACTTAAATGATCTTAGAGTATTTGTATATATTAAGACAAATGTTGAGACACTTACAGAAATATGAGCTCCCAAAATAGAGAGCCATGATCAATCTTCTTTGGCTTCAGAGTACATTGATAGTAGCACACATAATTTATTGCTTTTCAGATTCAAGATCCTAAGCCTTCCCTATCAAATTCTAACTGATTCTTTTTTCTTGCAGTGAGATGAGTTCACAGTAGTATTATAATAAATTTGTTGGAGTTGCACTTCAAATACGAATATAAATCCTTACTGAAATTTTGGTTTAATTTTGGCTATATGGACATGTTGCTACCTCTCAAAGTTGAGTTAAATATACTTCACTTTAGCAATGTCATGGTATAGTGTAACCTAAATAGACAAACTACATTTGTTTATTATTTTATCCCCAATTTTATGTAGATATACAAAATTTGAAATCTGATGTAATACTGCTCCATTTTCCCCTTACCCTTCTGTCTTCTGGCTACTTTTGTAGAATAGCATCAACTTGATGTTATTTCAGATTTTGTATTCCTACATAATTTGTAGATCTTATGGGGGATTTAGTGCCCCTAAATTAACTGCCAGATTATATCCCTAAGCATCTTTAGCCATATGATCCATCATGGAAGTAGCTGAGAAAGGTAAAAGAAATCATGGCTTGTAGTTTTCAACAATTGTCATATATCTTCTACCTCAGTCTTTTCTAAGCTGTTGCTCATCAGTTTGGTTGGACTTTATATGGTATTGTGGAAATCAAAATATGGTCACATATGGAAGGTACCACAGTTTATCACTATTAGCCAAACAAAAAAGATGCTATGATATGCATATTTGCATTTAACATGCATTTTTATAAAGGCAAACAGAAATTATTTGGGAATGGAGGAATGGACTAAAAAATGAAAATTTAACCATTCTGCTATGGTTCCATTGAACATCCTCATTCTAGAAATTTCATTTGTGCTATAGGAAAGTCCATGTTGAAAAAAAAGACATTTTTGTCATCAGAGCAGAAATTGATTCAACTTTTTCTCCTGTTGTAAGCCTAATTATCCCAATTCTCCTGCTGCTATTTGCATCATTAAAAATGTGCGCATAAGTGGAGTTTACTTAAATTATATCTTATTTAGCCCTGTGATTGTTCCCTATGATAGATACTAACAAAAGCTATGTCAGACAGATTCTAAAACTTCATTTAGAATTTAGTTCCCCCAGGCTAAGCCAGGCCAGGCCATTAGTCAGTTCTTCTTGGGACATAATGTGGCTTTTGATGTTACAAAGGGCATCTGTATAAATAAGAAAAAAAAAATTCTAAATGTTCCCATTGTACCACAAAGCTTCATATGGCTTCACAGCACTGCACAAAAAATAACTCTATTAATACTCTCATGAAGTGAAGAAAAAACTCATTGAAAAGTGAAGCTGTACTATGTTGACAAAATTACCTTACTTTGCAAACAACAAAGTAAGTAGTAAATAATCACTTACTGCACAGACACCTGTCTGACACACACTTGTCTTTCTTTCTTCCAGCAAGAATTCTTTCTCCCAGCAAGAATTACCCACACTGTGGCTAGCAGTGAGGTGTGTTATCTGGAGATCTTTCAATATAATTATTAGTGTGATTTGTTAAGAATATACCCCAAAATATTATGCAATAAAAATATTATGCTCATCATATAATCTGCAGAGCACTTGTTGGAATTAGGAAATTACTTCATGTTATATCTATATTATATCAGTTGCCCTCCATACAACTAGTTTAATTCAAAAGATGGTTCCAACTTTTGAACAAGTGTGGACCCTACTTGAAGCACTTTATCTACTTATCTGAATTAAAAGTATTATAAATATGCACAGCAAAATTCAAAATGCTTTTTATGAAACCTGCCAGTATTATTCACGATATCTTTCTGAATTACTTGCAGGTAGTCCTCGACTTATGATCACAATTGAGCCCAAAATTTCCATTGCTAAACAAGATAGTCCTTGCCACCGTTGTTAAGTGAATCATTTCAGCTGCTAAGTCAGAAATACAATTGTTAAGTAAATCTGGCTTCCCCATTGACTTTGTTTAAGATAAGAAAAGGTGATCACATGACCCCAGGACACTGCATCTGTCATCAATACATGTCAGTTGCCAAGTATACGAATTTTGATCACGTGACCATGGGGGATGCTGCAATGATTGTAAGTGTGAAAAATGGTCATAAGTCACTTTTTTCAGTGCCACTGTAATATTGAATGGTCACTAAATGAATGGTTGTAAGTTGAGGACTACCTGTATTAAAAAGGAAATTACATTCAACATTTTCTGGTTTCCTTGGCAGATGTGTGCTTCCCTTTGCTTTTTAAAAATGTTTCTAGGCAACTGTATAATTTCAAATTGCTTGAAATGTCTAACATTTTTATGTACATATAAAATAAAATTATCTCTCTTGTGAGCATAAATTGGAAGACATACAAGAATACATTTATTTCATATATTGTTGCTCCAATTGTGTCAAATGAGTTTTCCCAACAGAAATAGCTCTGCACTTGTAATCAACCTAACCCCATTTATTCTCAGTCTTCCTCTTTCCTTTGCAGAACAAGAAACCACTTTTCAAAGAAGGGCAAAGGAGAGGATGGAAGCGGGGAGGAGGTCAGGCACATTTTTTCTTTCAGTCATAAAGTTACCGAAGATGAGAAGTTATTGCAACACAATCCAGTCTTTCTATTCAGATTTATATTTATTTGCCAATTTGATGTTCTTTTAATCAATCTTCCAGGACAAAGAAGAGCACTATTATAGCTTCTATATAACAATAGCACTTAGACTTATATACCGCTTCATAATGCTTTACAGCCCTTTCTAAGCGATTTGCAGAGTCCGCATATTGCCCCTTACAATCTGAGCCCTCATTTTACTGACCTCGGAAGGATGGAAGGTTGAGTCAACCTTGAGCTGGTGAGAATCGAACTGCTGGCAATCGGCAGAATTAGCCTGCAATACTGCATTCTAACCACTCTGTCACCACAGCTCCCTATATGCTTAAAGAACTATTCCTAAAAATAATAAAACCTATAGAGTATTGAAAGGTTGGGGCTAACTTTGAAAGCAAATTTCTCAATGTATTATTCTGTTGATTCAAGGAAATATTTACTCATATATAATGCTTGTAGCATGCTAGGTTCTCCCAAAGAGATTTATAGAACTAAAATAAGCATATCCTTTAGTTGTATTATTCTGTCATTATCTTCTGCCTAAATGTATCCCCATATCCAGATGGATTTGTCATCTCTTCTGAAAACCAGAGCAGACAAATAGTATCTAGATCAGTGTTTATCAGTCTTTTTTTTTTTTATTTAATTTTTTTCAAAAATTTTACAAATAAACATCCACCCCCCCCTCCCAAACCACCCCACCCTCCCCCCCCTGACTTCCCAGAACTGAATATAGGATTATTGAACAAATTTTAAAAAATAACGTATACAATTTATAAGATAATTAATAATAATAATAAAAATCATAATAATAATATATATAATAGACAAAATGATCTTGGAAAACTGCAAGAGAAGGAAGACCAACCTGAATGTGGCATGGATTGACTACAAAAAGGCATTTGACTCTCTGCCACATGATTGGATAATAAAGTGCCTAGAAATAACAGGAGTCAGTAGAAACATCAGAAAATTTGTGCAAAGATCGATGGCACAATGGAAGACACAGTTGCAGATCAATGGTGAGAGGCTGGGAGAGGTTAATATCAAGAGAGGAATATTTCAAGGAGATTCATTATCACCATTACTATTTGTTATTGCACTGTTTCCTCTGTCAACAATACTGAATAACTCAGGACATGGCTATCAAACATCAAAAACATCTGCCAGACTATCCCACCTCCTTTATATGGATGATCTGAAGCTGTATGGAAAAACATCATCTGAAATAGAATCGCTGCTCAACACTGTCCGTATATATAGCCAAGATATTGTAATGGAGTTTGGCTTGGACAAATGTGCCACACTTACTATCAAACAAGGAAAAATAGTGAAAACTGAAGGAATCAAGATGCCCCACGAAAATAACATTAAGAGTCTGGATGAGGAAGAGTACTACAAATACTTGGGTATCCTTCAAGCTGACAACATCAAGCACACTGAAGTCAAGAAAAAGATTAGAGGTGAATACATCAAGAGAGTGAAGAAGATCTTAAAATCCAAACTCAATGGAGGAAATACCATAAAGGCAATCAACACCTGGGCAATCCCAGTCATTAGGTACACAGCTGGAATAGTGGACTGGACTCAAGCAGAACTAAAAGCAATGGATAGGCAGACCAGAAAAATAATGACAATGAATCATGCCCTTCATCCACGCAGTGACATTGATAGACTTTATCTACCAAGGCAAATAGGTGGGCGTGGAATGCTACAAGTACATCAGATGGTTGAAGAAGAAAAAATGGCTTTGGAAGAATATCTGAAGAACAATGATGAAGATGCACTGAAATTAGTATATCAGGAAGGCTTACTAACTACTGGAGAGACCAAACTGGCCTACAAGAAAGACCAAATGAAGAACAGAATAGAGGCATGGGAAGACA